ATTTTATGGTGCTGAAATCCATGTAAAAGCTCTTGATCAACCGTCAATTCACGAATTTTTATTATTCTCATGATTTAAGAGCCTTTTCGCGATAATAAGTACTCGCAAAAAATAAGGAACCTACAGTAACTTCCTTATAATGGAGATTTCCTTATATTCAATTTCCTTATGAACAAAGGATGATGTGACATAACTGCTATCAGGGGCCCCTTTTTCTACGACGAATTATATTTAATCTACAACGATTTTGATAGTTTTCATACATGAGTGAATAAATACGACGCCTTTTGAATAGTTTTAATAGTTCTGACAAATTTTAATTATAAGGATTACTGCATTATCTATGTTTTTTTTACCCTATGACAGCAAAATTCGGCCTGGTTTGTGACAATACGTTCTTTTATGAAAAGAAAATAGGCGGGTTTTAGTACAATAGAGGGATATGCATGTTTGAGGAATCTACCTTGTATGACTATTGTTATTATTTCACACATAGTCGCTTACCAAGAACAATTGTCCAATCCGATGACAGAACGACAAAACATGCTGGTTTACTATATGTTTACTTTTTATCATGGACACATGGTTTAGGTCAACTTACACAATATCTCTACTACATTTCAAACTTTTAATGGTCAACCTAGGCTATTTATACATAATAATACGCATGGAACCGCAGTGTTTACCGTTTAGGGTCAAGAATGAAACTTCTATTCACTGATTCTCGGGAATACGATGTAGGCCTAGCGAATTGCCCACCGAACGCTTTACAAAACCTTTAACTATGTATATTTGTAAATCAATTGTTTGTAAATGTGAACTGGGAAATTGTAGATCTGTGTCTAATCTGTGACTCAAATGCATAAAAATGTTTATCGGAAAGCAGGTTAAAAAACCCAATCTTTTTTCCAAGCATAAAATGACCGTAGTATTTTTGTGGTACTCACTAGTTATGCAACTCATTTAGCTGATTGGTCAGTAAGAAAGTATTGCCAGTGCCTCGATTAGCATATGAATTTATTCTTACGTCAGAAAAAAGTTTCGTCGATCTGTTCATAATGGGAAAGGCCAGCTAGATTTTACAATTTTTATAAAAGCAACATGTTAGCACAGTTGGGTACATTTTTCTCCTTTCACATATAGGTAGATTTCAATAAAAGACAGTGACCAGCCAAAGGAGAAAAATGTACCTACTTTGCGCACGTATATTTTAAGGGCTTCAAAGAGTGGGGCGGGGCCAAAATTCAATGGGAATTGGATGTAAACATGGTACCCCTACTCAAAATAAAGACATGTATCTTTCAAATCATGTTTCTATTTTCAGTAAAAGTAGTATTTTATGAGGGTATACTAATCGGTGATTAAATGCATGCAGAAATTAGAGTAAAATTTAGATATTTAATTTTTTGTCAATTTACCGGGGGCCGTATGTCACATCATCCTTTTACTGCATATGTGTAAAGTAATACAAAAATTGGCCGTTAATGTTGATATAAAGATAAAAATCTCGTTCCTTTGAAATGTCAGTAGCTACATGTATATACATTTCTGTGAGATTTTCTTTTTGTAGTGGAGATGAGCTACTGTTGACGGAGCTTTTATTCAATGGTGTGTTTAACGACTTGAGCTATCAGCAGTGCTGCGCCCTGGTGTCCTGTTTTGTGTTTCAGGAAAATGCGGGTAACGAGATGCCTAAACTTACAGAGGAACTTTCTGGTCCACTTAGAATCATGCAGGTGAGTGTCAACTTAATATTCTACTGGTAACAGTATAGGGTCAGCTGTTTACCATCCTACCAGCATTTTCAAGTCTAAAGAGAGATATAGTTTGTATTGTACAAATATTAATGCATCTTTATACCCCCGCTTCAGAGGAGAGGGGGGTATACTGTTTTACCCTTGTGTGTCCATCTGTTTGTCTGTGTGTCTGTCTGTAACAAATATATGTCACAGTTTTCTCAGCAACTACTCATCACAGATGATTGAAATTTTAGCACACTCTTTGTTTAGGCATGCAATATGACAGGATTCATTTTTGTGCGAATCCGATGTCAACTTCCTGTTAATCCATGCATCCGTCTGTACCATACATAACAAATTTTGGTCGCAGTTTTCTCAGCAATTACTCATCGCAGATGCTTGAAATTTTAGCACACTCTTCGTTTAGGCATGTCATATGGTGGAATTTATTTTTGTACGAATCTGATGTCAACTTCCTGTTTACCCTTCTGTCTGTCCATTAATGAACTTGTGTTTTTACATCAGAGTGGGGGTATTAGTGAGCATTGGCTCACAAACTTCTTGTTTGTTTTATGAAAACAATTTCAATAATCTAAATTTTATCTTGATCCAAATGTCTTTGATCTCTTATCAGGACACAGCAAGGAGGATTGCCCGAGTGAGTATTGAAGCCAAGTTAGAACTGAATGAAGAGGAATACGTGACTCAGTTCAAACCTCACATGATGGACGTCGTCAACTCCTGGTGCAACGGTGCCTCATTTGCTCAGATCTGTAAACTGACCAACATATTTGAAGGTGAGATTCATAATTCAAATCTTAGATGTGGAGGGATGTATTAACATCTGTATGACCAGAAATTTTCTATATTGTCGGTTGTTAAAGATATAAAATATTTTTTGAATCCCAGGCAGTATTATCCGTTGTATGAGGCGTTTGGAGGAGACGCTTCGACAATTGATGCAGGCAGCTAAAGCTATTGGAAATGCAGAGCTTGAAAACAAATTTGCTGAAGGTAGCATTTATAGCAATTGCAAATATATTACAATTTAGAAGAATTAATTCTGTGGTCAATTCAGCATCATATTTCATTAGGAAAGGTTTAGCTAAAAATACAGATGAAAATTAAGATTTGTAGCATTGTTAAATTCAGAACATTATATTATTTTCTTACTTTTCTCTGTACAGGGATCAGGAGTATCAAGAGAGACATCGTGTTTGCCGCCAGTTTATATTTGTAGTGCTCATTAACATCATAGTACTAAAAGTACTGAGAGGTGCTGAAACCTGTCAAGTAGACTTGAAGTGCTTAAGTTCATCACAGTACTAAGGCACACACTAAGAGGAACTAAAACTGGTCCAAACTACACCTCTAGTCTGCAACCCAATAAATGACACACGGAAGGCGTGATGTAAACCATTATTGACCCCTCTATGAAAAACAGTGATTCAGAAGACTATTTTTAGCTCTACTGGTCAAAGAAATGCTTCCCTTCTACAGTGTTGTCAGATTTCAATAAGAAAGACTATATCAAGATACAAAATTGTTTCTATGGAATATTTTACGTCAATACAGTGTCAGATTGGTACAAGTTTAGAAAAATATATGAAACTAAAAAAAATAACAGTACAAATTTAAGTGTAACTTTTCTTTCAGTTTATTCCAAATTTATAGTAGATCTACATTCATTAACAATTTCTGATTTTACCTGTGGGATTATGTGGCATCTTGTTTGTGGGGCTTAACACGGATGTGAACATTGTTAGATTTGTTTTACGTAAGCCGCAAGGCAGGAAGTTGTGTAAATTATATTTGTTATAAATGACCATTTGTTCATGTATTATAAATACATACATGTAATAGTAATTACCCTGTATCTGAGTTATTTTTTATGGACACTTCAGCAGTAACACTCCCATTGGTGGATAGAAAAAAATGTTTATTTAAATAAGGGTTGTGTGAACTTGTGTCCCATCAATAATAACATATTAACTTTCTTACAAGTTTGACTAGTGGTGATTTCAGTGAATTGTAGTACATACATGTGTTATTAGTTCTGGGATTTTAGCTGACTGATACTTATACATGTAGATAAGAAGCACTGCATAGAAGGGTAGTACAGTCAAACCTTGTTATCTCGAGCTCGATGGGACCAAGAAAAAACTTAAAGATATCCCAGGGTTCAAGATATGGAGGATTGATTAAATACTTAAGAAATACGTGGTTAGGACTTCTTGATCACTTTGACATATCCATGGTATTCGAGATATCTGTGTTTGAAGTTCAACTGTACTTTGTTTTGATACAAATCCTGGCTGGTTTTGAATCCATTATCCTCAGACTTGACATCTTATACAACAGACATACAAGTGATTCCTTCATTGTATCCAGTTATTCACTGCAATATTCATATTAACTGAATACTATGAATTTTTGTAATCAATAAAATTCAGAATATGAAACTTATCAATCATAGTATCTACACTTTATTAGAAAAAAATCACATTTTGATAACAATAAAATCACAGATTCTCTGTAAAATTCAACAATTAAAAGGTAATTAACAGAACAACCTACCTTAACCGGCCAAGTACAGAAAAAGAAAAATATTTCTCAGAGAACACAGCTCTGGCCAATGTGCATTCAACAAGATAAATAGCTGGCTATAAACCGACAGAATCTGAGGTAAATTTACCAGTGTTTAACATACAGTACATATTTCACTCAGGCACACATTTAACATAGAACAAAGAAATGATCCACAAAAATCAAGGCAAATCAATTATATCTACATTTATATCATCATCCAGATAAAAGTAATAAACTGTAAAATACTAGAATTGCGTAAAAATCAATGCCCTAATATCACCCTATATTAGATAAAGAGGTTACTTCAAACCTTGTGAGATGAATAACTAAATACATTCACAATATGTGAAAAAAAAGTACTGCATCGATTCCTTAGTTTCACAGGAAACAGATTTAGAAACAATCAACAAAAGCAAACAAACCTTCATAAGAACTTCATTGTCCTGTGATTCAAAAATAAATATAATATGTATATATGTTATATAACAGTAATATGAAAAAAACAGCAACATTTTCTGTTCTCCTCCAGAAACAAGTTTTCAGTAAGGTCTCTGTTTCACCAATCTGATTAAAATCAGATCTTTGTTACGCTCCGAAATTCTGATGGTCGCTGTACAGCGACCATCAGAATTTCAGAGCGTAACAAAGATCTGATTTTAATCAGATTGCTGTTTCACAAAAACATTCCAACTTAACTGCACTGACAGTCTATCACATAAATAACCAGCATCAGGACTCAGTACATCTGCACTAAGAAGACAATAATCTGCTGCCTTTTTGAACTTTGACCCCCAACTCCAGCTGATATCTAGTGGGCATGTCCATCCAAAGCTTTCAAAAATTTTGGCTCAAAAAACCTTGGAGTGATTTTGTGTCTGTAAAAAAAAAACAACTCTAAATCAATGGTTTAAATAAAACTAATTTACTTATTAATAAGTTATGTTGACTTGACTGAATGAAGAGCACAATATATTACATTAGTTACACTGACCTGATAAACATGAGGAGGATAAATTACATTGGTTACTATATAGGCACAAGGAGATTTATGTATTAATTACAATAAACTAAAAGGCATGTGGAGCATGTGATATTACACTAGTTAACTGATAGAACTATGCAGCGCGATGTATTACATAAGTTACCTGATTGGTATGATGAGGATTATTACACCTGAGGTAAGTGTGTTACAGTAACCTGATAGGCATAAATAGCATGATTACATTAGCTATACTAACCTAGTAGGCATGATGTAGACTACTGGTAATTATACTGAACTGATCAGCATGAAGAGCCTTATGTATTACATTAGTTACAGACAGGCATGAGGACCATGTTTTATTACATAAGTTACACTGACCTGATAGGTGTGAGGAAAATAATGGATTACATTAGTAACATTGATGTGATAAATATGAGAAGCCAGATTATATTAGTTACATTGACCTGACTCGCATGAGGAGTCTTATTACATTAGTAATACTGACCAGTTTGGTATGAGGAGCATAATTTACTACATTAATTGCACTGATAAGCCTTATGTATTACACAGTTACACTGACCTGATAGACATGAGGAGCTTGATGTATTACATTAATTACACTGACTTGATTAACATGAGGAGTCTGTTGTATTACATTTGTTACACTCCTGATTGGCATGAGAAGCATGATGTATTTCATAGTTACATTGACCTTATGGACATGAGGAGCATGATGTATTACATTTGTTACACTGACCTGATTGGCATGAGGAGCATGATGTATTACATTAGTGACACTGACCTGATAGACATGAAGAGTCTGGTGAATTACATTTGTTACACTGACCTGATAGACATGAGGAGTATGTTGTATTACATTTGTTACACTGACCTGATGGGCATGAGGATTATGATGTATTACATTAGTGACACTGACCTGATGGGCATGAGGAGCATGATGTATTACATTAGTGACACTGACCTGATAGACATGAAGAGACCCATGTATTACATATTTTACAATGACCTGATTGGCATGAGGAGTTTGATGTATTACATTTGTTACACTGACCTGATGGGCATGAGGAGCATGAGGAGGACAGGGAAGACCATTTTCATGTAAGGTATGGGGGAGAATCCAAACACACAGAGGACCAGGAGTTGTATCAGCTGTAGCACGGTAAACAGATGGACCTTCCTCTGGGGGACTCGCCGGATGTAATGGTTAGGGGGGTAAGCTGACTGTAAAGGATAGGAGGGTAAACTGACTGTTGTACAGTAACATTGTCAAAAAAGTCTTTTATTTTACATTACATTTCAAATTTTCATGTGAAGTACAGTAACTGTTTTTTTTAAGGTTTTACAAGACTTTGACTGCAAACATGGCTACCCTCTCAACATTTGAAACTTCTTATTTTAACTTGTACACAGTAATTAATCTGTGAAAAACTGATGAAAGAAAATTTGTTTGATTTCTCACAGTGACTAGTCCAGCAATATGTTTGAAAACCAATAGACAGATAACAAGTCAAGGGTAAATGCAGTATTCAATGATAAATTTTTAGCATATTCCTCATGTAATTACCTGTTCTGTGAAGAAAAGTAGAATGCGGTCAAACAGCTGATTGCCATAGAGAGCAGTAATGGCGACGTAAATAAACAGGCCGTCCAGGACGGGGCGGGGTATGTAGGCCAGGGGGTAAGGCAGCATCAACATGGACAGACCAATCATCACGTGGGAGATAATCCCCGTCAGCCGAGTCTCACGAACATGGACCACTCTGTAATAGGTATATTTATAACGTACATGCATTCTTATGGATCAATACTACATCAACCCTTCATTTAAGTTATATAATTAAGATGTCACAAACTATACCATTTATCTTTGCATAGTACACAAAGCATTATATGATAGTGTAAGCATACTACATGTATGCTGAAATAGTGCATGGATATTTTTTCTAGAGAAAATATGTGTCAGCACCCACGCTCGGGTCGCACTCATGATCCTGAGAACAGCAGTCCAATGAACTGGTTCTAATAGAAGTCATTAAAATGCTTTTTGATAGAACACTTGATTAAAGAGTGTGCAAGAAAATTTTCATTTGGATTTAACGTCTGCAAACAGGTTTGGGATTAAGAATTTAATTAAATTGTCGTATATACACAAAAGTCAGCATAATAATTATAATAGTGTTATGATTTGGATGTATTGTGCCGAACCTTGTATTATGGTGAACTTGCTCCGACTCATGCACCATGTGCCAAACCTTGACTACTATATCTACATAGTATATCCCTATCATAACACTATAATGTTAATATTTTGCAAGTTTTATATGTATACGTAAATAGTATGGTCATACAGGGACTAAACATGTGTACTATTTTGGGACATATACTCTAGATTTGCATTATGCAGAATCATACATTGGATTTTTAATCAATTCTTATATTAAAGATTATGATACTACAATTCTCTTACACCATGTTAAAACTGTAAGCAGAGACTGCTTCCCCTGAACCATTGACTTACATCTGGTGTACGTGACCTTGATCGACCCTGTCCTCAAGGTCAGCAAGTGCTCGTACGTGGAGAGGTGAGTGAGGTAAGGCAGCGTGGACCCACGGCATGGTGAAGATAGACAGGAAGGCATTGATGACTGCCACCACAAACAGATCCCAGTGGTACGCCGCTCCCTTCTTAAGTCTGATAGAAATAAATATAACAGTAATTATATCTCCAAATTACATGTACCTCATCAGAATTTAGGCATAAACATCAGGTCTCCATGAATGATGGCTGAATTTCATTTTTTTTTTTCATAATCACTCTTTAGATTTTGTTTAATAGCAGATACAACACTTTTTTTAATTGAGTGGGACATATAATAAATAATTCTTAAATTTGGTGTCTTAATAGAGGGAAATTGTTTTACTTGTTAGAGGGGGCATTGACCAGAGCACTGGAAATGTTTTGATCCATAAAGAAGAGGAGGGACAAACTGAAGCCCAGACCAGCAGCTGCAAACACTGCCCCCACAGGCAACAGGTGGAGAGGGGCCAGCTCAAACATCTGGGCTCGTTCCTTGTACTTAAAAGGCTTCACTGAAATTAAAGCATTACACTGTGTCAAAGATGTCTACATATCATATTGGTAAGCAGATATTGTAAGACAGCAGATTTTACACTGAATTGTTAAATGTTAATTTGTATTGTAGAGTACATACTTTTGACCTCACTGAAGATGTAGGATCCAAAGAAGGACATGAAAAGGACAGCCACAGGTAAGGCGTAATCAGCCAGCATCTCCCGCTTACCGGCATTCAGAAAGGGTCTAAAATTATACAGGTAACTATGCTGTACATGTACAAACATGACCTGTATAACTAAGATATTACATAGAAGTGCAATTAATGTAATAATTAGGATGATGACATTAGGGAAACATCATGCCACAATGTCACATATATACATGTAATACTAAAACTACTAGGTGAACTTGTTAGAAGGTGTGCTAGCTCAGCTGCCTTAATATACATTAGGTAAATACATGAGGGAGCACAATGCATTCCTAAATTTACTGGGTTATTCATAATTATTACACAATTATTACAACAAGCAAATACAGGTTATTGAAGAGAACATCTGATACAAAGGCGTGTTGTCTATAATTAATTAAAATAACTAATGCTATTGAACAACGTACGTTTTAGTAAAGTTAAATAGTGTGATTCCCAACCACACCGTGCCCAACATCAGCAGTAAAAATAGAATACTGTTCTCCCTTAGGCATTCCTCTATCCCCCCACCAGGGGGAGACACTGTCACACTGCTGTTGGAGGAGTTTCCTGTTGTCATGGTACTAACTGTTGTTAGGGAGTTGTTAAGGAGGGAAGGATTCTGATTGGATGAATTACTGTGGATGACGTGATGACAGGCATCCGTGTGGTAATTCTTGTTAAAATCTACAAAGTGTTATAGTCTACTCTTGTTAGTGATCTAGTATCAGTCAGCCACAAGCAATAGGGTGGGTTATCTTACGCTAGTCAAATTTTGAAGTGTAAAGTTAGGTTGTAAAACTTAATTTACAATTCTTGTAAATCCTTCCATCATCATATGATGGGACGGATATGGCTTAACAAAAAATGTGTCCATTAACAGTTACTAAGCTTACAGTAAATAGTTATCCTGATCCTAATTCCAGTAATAGTTAAGTGAAAGAGCATATATAAATGTTATTATTAACAATTATTCTGGGGAACAATCAAGAAATATGCAGATGCTAAAATTAGCAGCCCACAATAGTTACATGTATCTATGTGGTATTAAACAGTATATTTAATATAGTTAGATATTAGTAAACACACATGCTTCACTCCCTTCTGTCTGGTTTTAATCTAAACAGTATATGCTTGTGGTGAGTAGAAATGAAGAGTTATCTACCTTTAATTGTGTCTTTAATGGCATCAGCAGAAAAGGCAAATGTGATGAACAGTGAAAACACCTCCTCTGTGGACCTAAATACATAGAAGATAAATAGTAAAACTAGCTTTTCAAAAAAAAGGAAAAAAAAAAAAGAAACAAAAAACAAACAAACAAAAAAAACCCCCTTCATTTCCACATTTCTATACAATAAGATTATTTTGCATATTTTATAGTCCAGTGTAAAACTAACAGACTACCTATTGTGACCCCACCCTTTGCCCTGGGGGCCTTGATTTAATCAATGATTATAGAATCTACATTATATCAGGATTTTTGATGCTTTTACATTAGCTTTTATCTTTTCTTGTCAGTAAATTGTTCTTGAGAAGATTCTTAAAGGCCGGTTTGTTCCAATAATTTGATACCCTAGTGTGCCCCCACCCTACCCCAGGGGACCTTGATTTAATCTATTATTATAGAATCCTCATTGTGTCAGGAAGCTTTTACATAAAGTTTCATGTTTTCTGGTCAGTTTACTTGAGAGAAGATTTATTAAGATTCGTTCCACTAATTTTGATACCCTAGCTGTTGTGGTCCTGGGGACCATGCTTTGAACAATTTATAATCTATATTATACCAGAAAGCTTTCATCATTTCATGTCTAATGGTCCTTGAGAAGATTTTAAAATTAATTTTCTTATTTATTTCAATGTAAACTTTGATCCCTAATGTGTTCTACACTATGTAAGAAAACTTACATATAAGTTCAATCTTTTCTGGCCCAGCATTTCTTGTGAAGAAATTTTTTAAAGAAATTCTATAAAGATGTAAAAATTTTGATCTCCTATTGTAGCCCAACCCTACCCTGAGGGCCGTGATTTGAACAACACTTAGAATCGACTATACCATAGAAAACTTTCACATAAGTTTCATCATTTCTTTCCCAGTGGTTCTTTAAAAGATCTTCTAATGACCCACCCTGATTTGGGCTTTTCTTGATTATCTTCCCTTGGAAAGGGGCTTGGCCCATCATTTGAGCAATATAGAATTCCCTTTACCCAAAACTGCTTTGTGCCAACTTTAGTTACAGACCTGTTTACCCAAATTGTTGTCTCTCAGTATTTTTTATTAGATTTGTCAGTGAGATTTTGCATTTGCCCGTAAGATTTCACTTTTCATCGACTGTACATATATTACTAGAAAACAACTACATTTCTGATTACCAAAACATGGTTTAATAACAAAGCAAAACATCATACCCTGCTTTCTTTTCAGTGATTTATGTCTTTTTTTAAACCACCGCGTTTTGGCAACTTAAATGTTTGAAATTTTTATCTTTTTTAGCGATTAAAAAGCGTCAAACTGAGACAGATAACGAAAACTAATTGCTAAAATCCATATGAACGGATTTCCGTATTTTCGTTATAGCAAAACGTGAGACGTATTTTGGACTGAAAATCTGTACAAAATACGGCGAAATCGTAAGAGTAAACAGGTCTGTAGTTAGAATTGGACGGTTCTCCAGAAGACATCAAAAAATGCATGTGAAAAGTTTTCTGGACGGACAGACAGCTAGATGGTTGCTAGACTATAGGTTTTCAGAAAAGCTCGCGCTTTCAGTTTAAGTGAGCTAAAAATAGTACTGCAGATTGATTTCAAACCAATGAATCATGAATAAAAATTGTGGCCAATAATAGTCAGTTTACAGTATCAGTTTTAGTAAGTACTGTACATTGATCCTTTACCTTGAGGAATATTTCATAAGCTTGCTTGTATTGAAGAAAACATAAATAAACAGGAAAAAAGCATTCCACAACCCAGTACAGGCAAACATGGCAGAGAAGTTCAGGTCAAAATCCTCACAAATGCTGAAAATAACTGGAAAAAAAGGCAAATAGCTGGGTCAAAATCCTAACAAATGCTGGAAAAAACTGATAAAAAGGCAAATAGTTGGGTCAAAAATCCTTAAAAATGCTGGGAAAAAATAACTGACAAAAAGGCAAATAGTTATGGGTCAAAAATCGTAACAAGTGCTGGGGAAAAATGATAAGGCAAATAGTTTGGTCTGAATTTTTAAAAATGCTAAAAATTCATGTAACTTAAGAAAAGGAAAACAGAAATTATGAATTCAGGACACAAATGCTGAAAATAATTTACAAGACCAAAGGAAAAAAGGCATAATCATACTTTGAAATTGATAGCAGGACTAGAAGCGAGTCTAGTGCCTTGTTCATACGAGGAGAGTTTAATTTGATGAATTAAACATAAGTTACTGCTAGGGATGGCAACGAATATTCAAATATTTATTCGATGATTTGATATTCGAATATGAATTTAAGATTCGAATATTCGGTGTTTTTCAGATTTCATAAAAAGAGGTACTGTAATTAATAAATTTTGATTAGAACAGTGCTGGAATTATCCCTGTTTAATTTACTAGCGATCAATTTCGATCGACAGATTTCTTTCACCACTTTCTTATCTTATAAATCTACTAAATTACATGTATTTTGTTTTGAGTAAGGTGTTAAGGAATTGTACAATAATGCTTTATGTATAATACAAAACGTACTTTCATAGTTTTTTTTAGTTAGATACGATCGGATCTAGAGTCGAGGACATCAAATGAAATCTAAGAATGTCTAAAAGTCGTGAAGATTATACTTATCAAAATAAAATTAATTGATCATTTGAATGAATGTCTGATAGAATTAATCTGTAATTAATATTGTAAAGTTAGTTAATTAGTTCATTACCTAGGAAAATTGTCTATGGAAATATTTGTTTACATTGTATCAAAGATTATAACAATATGTCTTATCAGGCAGATAATTGTAATTTATTACACGCATTGAAATCTGAACAGTATACCGTTACGACTATCTTGCCTTTTGTACATGTAAGACAACTGGTTCCTCAGTTGGAGCTACTATAAATACACTTTTCATTTATTAAAATTATACTTTTCTACATTTAAATCATTTATTTCAAACATTGACAGATATCAATTGGAATTTTTTAATGTACACATATAAAAGTCTTCATACAATTTTACTTCCAAACCTTTCATGAGAGTAGAATGATGGATATTTAAAATAAACCAGATTTTATTTATTTTATCGAATATCCGAATATATTCGAATACTTTCATTGAATATTCGAATATGAATTATTGACAAAATTGACATCCCTAGTTACTGCAAATTAAATTAAAATCGCATTCACATAGAGAATTTAACGTGAATTAGTTTCATTTGACTTAACTTACTGCACACCAAATTGCTTCACATTAACTGCTTTTCAACAATAAGCGAAGCTAATTCAAATTAAATTTTGACGCATGTGTAATAGCAAAATTAAGAAACCACATGCCATACGTTCTGTGGTCAGATAAGAACTTATGCTATTTTTTTTGAGTGAAAATCAAAGAAAATTTAAGTTTATCACTAAAAATTTGTACAAAAACTATGACATTAAGTCTAATTTATCTGCTCTGCATAAGGTGATATGATTTGCAAATGACGTCATAATAGCCTTACTGTAGAAATCCAATCCTAATGCGCATTTGTTAACTTCACATTAACTGTCATGGAATGCAGTTTAATTTGCATTATTTAACTTCACATTAATTTACTTTGAATTACATATTCAATGCGTATTTTTGTGAACTGGGCATAAAAAAATTTGCTGCTCTGTCAGTGACCTACTTTTGGTGTATAGGGCCAGGGGTGCTGTGGTCAGTAGGACGATTAGAGGCTGGCCCCCAAAGATCGCAAATAGAAGTCCTCCCACACACTGGGAAAACAACACCTTCTGGACATCTGAAATAAATACACATCTGTTAAACACCATGGCTAAATAATGTATATATTCAATCAGTGAAATCACTATAGCTAAATATTGTATACATCCAATTAGTGGAACCACCATAGCTAAATATTGTATACATCCAAGTGGAACCACCACAGCTAAATATCATAGAATCATTGCTGTTTCTGAGGTCAATATGTTGATTTTACTACCGCCGGAGTTCAATAAATATTGAGCCCAAAGGGCAAGGTAAATGTTGTACTTTGAGGGTGCCAAATCAATTCACTGACCAATTAAAACCAGCAATAGTTGTTTTTTTTAATGACTAAATGCTTAAATGATACAAACTTGTTTACCAAACCTATAGTCATCTATTTTGGTTGATTGCATCTGCTGATGCAGAGAGATATAGGATTAAACAAGAAGTCTGTGAGCCAATGCTCACTAGTAATACCCCCGCTCTGATTTGAATATACGCTCTCATGAATTCCACCATATGGCATGCCCAGAAAAGAGTGTGCTGAAGTTTCAAGCACATGCAATGAGTAGTTGCTGAGAAATTTGGTATGGACAGATGCACAGATAAACAGGAAGTTGACATCAGATTTGTACAAAAATGAATCCCACCATATAGCAATCCTAGACAAAGAATGTGCTAAAATTTCGAGCACTGCAATGAAATTTTGTTACAGACAGACGCACGGATAAACAGGAAGTTGACATCAGATTTGTACAAAAATAAATCCCACCATATGGCATGTCTAGGCAAAGAGGGTGCTAAAATTTCAAGCATCTGCGATGTCAGTAGCTGCTGAGAAAACTGTGACGAAAATTTGTTACGGACAGATGCACGGATAAACAGGAAGTTGACACCAGATTTGTGTAGAAATGAATCGAACCATATGGCATGCCTATGCAAAGACTGTGCTAAAATTTCAAGCATCTGCAATGTCAGTAGCTGCTGAGAAAACTGCAATGAAAATTTGTTATGGACAGACACACTTTTTCTGTTCAATCTAACTAGATCGAATCTTGGATTTCAGCCCATAACACAGCTAGGATCGAATCATTTGATCGTAATAAAATATACTGTTTGTTTTTTGTAAACAACAAATTAATCAAAAAAATTTCTATATACAGATTCAAGAGTGTTAAACTTTGCCCTTTGAGATGTGAAGTAGAGTGAAGGTCTCCATATAACATCATATTGATAGTTAATAAGTTAATATATAGACAGATTAACAGGTAAGATCTAATTCCTCTGATATCCTTAATAACCTTGCCTTCAGTTATACTACCTTAATTGAAAGAAGGTAGTCTTCAACCAGTTCATAGAGAGAATTTTGTTTTCTTTTTGCATGTCAGATCAATATCTCAGCTGTGAAGACATTTCCATACATAAACAAAAGGAAAGACATGAATTCAAGTTCCTCGGTTTGAAAATTTCTTTTATTTCTCCTGATAAGACTGTTCAAATTTAAAATAAAATTTTGTGAAATGTATCCAAAGACAAAATAGTAGTACATTACCTATAGCTCCCTCTGTGTTGTTATCATTCAACATTCCAAAGGCGATGTTTGGTAGGACACAGGCAAAGTACAAGAAAAATGTAGTGGACGTTACTTTGTGAATTGTTTTGTTCCCTATGATGCCTACAAAGAAAGTAAAGCTTAGGATTTAAAGTATCTTTCTTACAATTGGTATTTGATTTTTAATTAATTTGCTCACTCAGTATTACGTTGTATATACCTACCATCTTTATAATCTGAGAGATAGTGAGGTAACCGTCGTTTAAAGTCACGAAGAAGACCCTGTCCTATTGGACATCGAGCTGTCCCACCCTGAAATAAATTAAAATAAATCAAGGAACATTCATATTTCCTTACATGATTCTGTATGCAAATAAAACACAAGAATTCCCGATTGAGAGCCCCCCTTTTAAACCTCTTGTTCCTCCTGTTCAAAGGCCGACAGCACAAGATGAGATTTGCGGTTCTCGGGGAGACCCTGTTCCTCGATGAGAAGTTTGGTCCTCGAATGAAGAAGCTGTTTAAATTCAAATTCAGACTCGGCCAGCAGGAGCTGATGTCGGAAGTCTATGTCCAGGAAGAGGGTGGCAAAGGTCCGGGCCGTCTCCAAGGAGGACTTAGTACTTTTCTATATATAAAAAAAGATAATACTGAGTAGGTGTCTATAGTTACTGAATTTGATCAATATATTCATTCAAATTTAAGTGCAAACTTTAATGATCATTATTTGCTACTATGAAAATGTACAAAAAGGATAGAGATTTAAGTACAGTATGAAAACAATCATTCCCAAGCCTCAATGCCATGATAATTTGAGCATGTAAGTGAAGGCTTAGTATGAAAATGGCCCCTCTGTGGCCTAATATCTTGGTGCGCTTAAGATGAACACAAAATTAAGAGGTGAAGATTTAAGTCAGGTTTGAAATTGACCCTCTTTGGCTGTATGACCCAGTGGACTTGATACATACACTAACTGATCTCTCTGACAGGAGCTTCTCTGTTCCTGGTTATCCTGTGAGCTGTAGACATGTTCACCAACCTCTCTGATGGGAGTCTTCTCTGTTCCTGGTTACTCTGTGAGCTGTAGACATATTCACTAACCTCTCTAATGGGAGCTTCTCTGTTCCTGGTTACCCTGTGAGCTGTAGACATATTCACTAACCTCTCTGTTCCTGGTTACCTCTGTGATGGGAGTCTTCTCTGTTCCTGGTTACCCTGTGAGCTGTAGACATATTCACTAACCTCTCTGTTCCTTGTTACCCTGTGAGCTGTAGACATATTCACTGACCTCTCTGTTCCTGGTTACCTCTGTGATGGGAGTCTCTCTGTTCCTGGTTACCCTGTGAGCTGTAGACTTACTCACTAACCTCTCTGACGGGAGCCCCTGTAATCAGTAAACTCTGTGACTGGCCCATGAGCTGGAGACTTGTATAAACTAACCTCTCTGACCGGAGCCATTACGAGGATTACAAACTGCACCTCTTGACTAGTGCTGCCTAAATTAGCCGGACTGTTTAATCGCGCGATGACCACATGCCGTTTTGTCAAGGTAGGAATATCGCACCTTCAGGGAATGGAAAAAAATTAAATTATTTCTAAATATTTAACATGAAGTTTGATTCACTGAAAATCCTACTTTTTCCACAGAATTTTGGTCCTTTAAGCTTTACATTCTGTAAAACATATTCTTATAATACATTATCAGTGTTGTTGGCCTTTTTAAAATTTACATTATAGTGTGTGGAAAAGCCTTATAAACACTATTCAGAGTAGAGGTCCTTTGAGCTTTTCAAGGTCCTTTGAGCTTTTCATTGCACAAGGAAGATGTTGACAATGCATTATACAAAGATGTAGCCTTTCGTTTATTTTTTTTTACCTTTGATTACCTGACTTACATGACACAAATCCAGTTCTGATCAAAATCAAAGCCGCTCTCATCACTTGTCATGGTACCCTGAATTGTCTTACTTAGTGTGTGTACTGAAATAAGAGTCAATAAAATATAAAATAAGTTATTTCTAACTAGAGCATGCTTCAAGAGACATATTCGTTGCCAACATCAGTAATATTTACAATACATAGGTATCAAAATTGACCTCTTTTTTTAATGAACTTTTATGTAGAATTGAAAGGAAGGTCAATGACAAAGTCAAGGTTACAAAGCAGTATCAAGTTCATGGTCACAAATGTAAGCCTAGTATCTTACTTGATATCTATCAATAAGCACATGCGATATTTCAAATACCTTTAGTCATTCAAAATAAATGAGAGGAAACTAGTAAAAAAAAAAAGAGGGGGTCAAAGGTCAAGTTGAAGGTCACTATTCTTGAAATTCTATAACAGGGTTGTGTTCAAGATTGTGGCAACTATATAATGCTAGATAGTGCTAACAAATTTGAACAAACACCAATGATAGCTTGGGGTAGGAGTAACAGGCAGTTCATTTAGTTTGATCAACAGACCAAGACATAGCAGCTAAGCTAGCTGCTACAATCTTGAATGTAGCCCAGGATTTTAGAAAAGCATTTTGACATGCTGAGTCTCAGCCCCCTCCTAATTTACAGGAGTTCTTCACCTGAGTCCTGAGTGAAGATGGCGTGTCTCGCTTCCTCTAGTGAGGTCTGCGAGGATACTTCTTTTTTCTCTAGTAACCTTTTGACCATCGCGTCTATAATCTGGGGTAGACCCGACTTTTGGAGGTCCAACATCAGTTGTGTCCCACTCAGGAAATCCTCCACATCCTTGAAGGCCCGAATCTCAGCATGGAAGTCCTTTAGGGGGATCTTCTGCTCAGAGCAGAAATTAAGTCAGTAGAATTATTATAAATATCAAGGAATTAAAATCAAACACTGGTAGTTAATTCATTAATACTCATGTACCTCATATCTCAAATAACCACTAAGTTGTCTTTGATAGTTTACATTAAGAAATTAAACTTAATCAATTGTTAATTAGCTCTAGATTATACAATGTACCTCGAATCTGCCGTGGAGTAATGCAAAGTCATCTTCATCTGAAAACCAATGATGACAGTTGAATTACAGATTTTTTTTTAGATCATACAGATGAAATAATATCAATTTTGTGAGAGTTCTGTAATTCGATCATTTATTTAACAATATGTCAATTCAGAAAGTAAATTTACCTGCAGATGAGTGTCTTCGTCTTCTCTCTGTAACAAACATTGTTTTTAAAACTGATCCAGTGTACTCTTAATTTACAGGAAGACGATTATTATACTAAATCATGATGTAAATTGAATTTACTCCTTTTGCTTCATTTGTTTAATTATTCCTTCAACATTTAGTTCTGTCTCTGTCCAGCAGACATGCTTCTTCGTAAAATTACCAGAAATTTCTGTAGTTTTTATTTCTTTTTTTTAATATTGCAAACTTTTACAGTTCATTTAAGACATTATTTCAAAATATAAAATATTCCAATCCAATATTTTGGGGTATTAGATTTAACAGAATAACAAAAATTAAAAATCTGCATGTTTTCTCTACTCAAAATAACGGCAAAATCTGTATACTTTCTCTGACTAATAAAAGACTAAATTGTGAAAATATCAAAATTGCTGGAATATGACCATAATGATTTTTATTCAAAGCTCAGACTTACCTAACAGACTTCATGTTCAACTTGATAGTTATACACAAATAAAAAGAAACTCCAAGAAAAATTAACATCCAACCAAGCATGCAGATATAACTAGTGTATAGAAAATAAAACCAGAAACATGATAAACAGCTAAATATGCTGCAACTGTCAGCAAGCAATTTTCAAAAACTCAACATCAAGCAAACAGCAGGCATTTTACCTTTGACTGACAAATTATCAACATGCTCAACTGTCTCTAAACGATTCTTTAATATGCTTTTCAGTTGTCCTAAAATTCCAAAAATTAAAGATCACAAGTTATTCTCTATTGTTTTGTCATGTATTCTTACAGGTTGATTTGTTAAGAATTTGCAATTCATTAATTTATTTTCATGTAGCCTTTGAGTCAAATTTATGCAAAATAAACATAGCTAGTAGAAAATATCAATGAAACTGATGAAAACCTTTGATCTCGGTTTATTTTACAAGATATGGGAATTCAGTATTAAAAAATGTCTTTATAATTCATGTTACTTTTAATATCCATGGGTGTATCACCCTCAAGATGCAGTTCGGACGGAAACCATGCAAACTAGATGCCCATAAGCCATAAGGCTCACCCGAGCCAAGTTACTCCTACTGATGTTTTGAAACCAGGACTTTATTAGCAACAATGTAAACATATACTTGTAGTACTACATACAGTGGATAGAAACTTTAACTTTTATTTTACATGTTCTTGATATTTTAGTCCAGTATTTAAAACTTTGAAATATTGTGGGCTTAATTTTTTTTCTTGTATATTTACAGAAAATCAGCAGAATTTAAAACAAATCGAAATTATGCTCGTGTCAGATTATTTTCAAAATTGTTCTTGTTTCATTAATTATTTTCAAATGGGCCAATGATTCTACTCCAGCAGAATCAAAAGTATAAATTGTTTGCAAACAGATGAAGATGCCAGCTAATTTTTGATCAGATATAAGCTTGAGCAAGGGTACGTGCTTGTTGAGTGAGCTATATAAAATCCAAATCTTTGAACCTTGCAAATGCTATCATGCAAATGCCAATTTTCAGACATGTAAACTATAAATTCCCTTTTTAAAAAAAAGAAGATATTTCAGTGATGTTCAATGGTAATTATCAAAATTTCTTATGAACAAATTACCCATCAGTATGTAACAGGAATAATGTGTGGGGGTGATTTATAATAAAACATTGATATGACCCATTGACTGCCCATTAATCTTGGTGTTCGACTCTGTGACAGAGATGTCATTTTCTGTAATTGTCCAATAATCGGAGACATTTATCCCACTGATGAGGTTGTGTAAGTTATGACTTGTGGCTGCCAACAGGAACCAATCTAATGTGTAGGAGTGAGAATCTACATAACTATCCCATCAGTCCCGACAGCTCCGTATTATTACAATCAATCAATCGGGTCAGGATTATCTCTTATCAACACTAAAACAATTCTGCTTCGTCATAATAACAAAGGGTCAATGACTGTTGGTTTGTTGTGATTATTATAAAAAATTTCCCAATGACGTATCAATATATATCTATATATAAAGTATGCTCAGCCTAATTATTCTCTTTACTTGCACATACTATTAATAGTGATAATCAATTTCATTGAGAAATTTTTCCACCTATTTTGACCTTTAACTTTTCTGCACTCTGTTGTTATGACTTTTCTGTGCTCTGTTGTTATGATGGGTCATGCCTCAAAAAAAGCTTAAGGACCACGTGCACATATCCCTCTATATTACTAAATCGAAATGTTTTTTAGACATGGAGAAAATTGTATAAAGGTATAAACAATAAGCTTATCTTTTTTTATTTTCAACATAGGGTATTTGTCAATTTTACCTCCAGGAAAAATATTCAGAGACATTGAAATATTGAGGAACAGAAATCACTGCAGGTTGTTTACTTAAGTGGGGAAAATGCAGCATGCAAATGCAGTGCTCAGTTTTTTTTCATTTGGACTAGTAAAAAAATTTTTTAATTCCATGTGAGATTATTTTACTCCATTAAGCAATTTTCCTCGGAAATGTATAACAGTGTACTTAAACTGCATTTAAGACTTAAATGGCAAGTCAAGAAATCTGTGTAATTTTCTATCCGCAGATGGAACAGAAATTGTGATTCTGCGGAATTATGTCCCCTTGAAAAAAAGAACAAATTTTACAATATTCAAATGTTAAGGATGTGCTTGCATCAACTGAAAAATAGACTATACTGCCTATATTTTGATTTATTATAATTTATATCTAAGAGGGGGGGGGGGGGGGGATTACTCTAACTCCATAAAAATACCATATATAGTCAATCAGAGCTCTTCATAGTGTGCAGTGTATATACAGAGGATTCTTAAGAATAAAATTCATGGGATAGTGTTGCAATTGTTTTATGTATGTTAAGATGCTGCAATTGACCTATATTTTCAAGATGAATGAAAATCTGATTAAAATTCTTTTAGCACATATATTCTTAAGTTATGATAATCATTATAATTAATTCCTATATGTTGACCAAACTGACATGGATCACGTCACTAAGGATTCACATTATCTGCTATTATTAACTGACATGGATCACGTCACGAAGGATTCATATTATCTGCTATTATTAACTGACATGGATCACGTCACGAAGGATTCACATTATCTGCTATTATTAACTGACATGGATCACGTCACGAAGGATTCACATTATCTGCTATTATTAACTGACATGGATCACGTCACTAAGGATTCACATTATCTGCTATTATTAACTGACATGGATCATGGCACTAAGGATTCACATTATCTGCTATTATTATCTGACATGGATCACGTCACTAAGGATTCACATTATCTGCTATTATTATTCAGATTCTGCAGATTTTCAGGATGATCATGGACTGAGGCAGATCCATTCAAACAGCTAGATTAGCCCTGCTTTGACAAACCAAACATGTACTAAGTGCTGCATCTTAGTCACACTTTTTATGCTACATGTGACCTATCTACTTTCTCGTTGAGTCAGCAGATGATTGTTTTTAGAATATGGTTCCATTCCCAAGCACTGAGAAGATCTACTGTGTGACCAAACATGTAAACATAATTATATCTGAGGTGCAGTATCTACCAGCCATGTTTCAGATGCTGCATGTGACCTCCATTTTGCGTTAACAGATCAAAGTTTTGAGAATACATAAATCATTCCTAAGCACCAATAATTCTACATTGTTTACAAATATTGCAAGTATTGAAGCATACTTTTGTATATGCTTTGGATGCTACATATGACCTATATTTACTGGTTGAATGATCAAGCTTTAAGAGAGATAAATTCTCAAGCAAGACAAGTCTTACAATGACTTATATTTTATAGATCACATCACTAAGGAAAGATTAACTTTACTTCTGATGCTGGGTTAATTGGAATAATTATAATCCTGAAGTTTTCATAAATCCTACACTGATCAGACCTAAGGATGTCGGGTACCACATCACTAATGAATGCTTCAAATGCTGCAGGTGAGATCGACCTACAATTTCCAGACATGTGATCAGGGTATTAAATATTCTCTTAAAAAAAATTATGCTCAAGTGATTACATAGAAGCCTAAATGTAACCAAACTGACAAATTACATTAGAGGAGATATGTCCAAACCAATGTTTAAGATGCTGCATGTGACCTACATTTTACAGCTTTTAAAATATCACATACATTGTACTAGGTTAATTTTTTTTTTTTTAAATCAGTGCTCCCCATTCATTTGCAATAACCAGAAGGAAACAAATGGAACATAAAGCAAAACGTGAATTTTACTGCTGTTTTCCTTATCTAACTTAATTTAAGTAATATTTTATTCATAAAAGTGAATGGGATGGGACAGCAGGCATATATATAGCCTATATTTTAGCCCTGATCTAGTCCCTCCTAGATAATCAAATATCATTCATTTAGCTGTTAAGAAAGTCTACGTGCTAGATATGATAATTCAGCAGCCCCCCCCCTTCCAAAAATAGGAGAAATATTGTCCCTATCATGTTGAGCTATATGTTATATATCCCACTGACCTCATGATTAATAGTAAAAAGGCAATAATTGATGTACATATTGTATATTTATAACCCTTGTGCAAAAGTCTAGAATATTGATGTGTTAAATTTGCTTCACCAATCAATGTACAGCTCATTTATTTATTATCTTCAAGAAAGACAAGCAGTAGTCATTGACATTGATGAACAATATAATTAACAATAGAGAGATCCTTTACCACTCACTGCGTGAGCAGCTTTAAGTACAGCCTCCTTGTCTGAGTAGATTAAGGGGGATGTATAGATCACTGGATGTAACATGCCGTCTTTATAATATACTGAATCAATATCGCATAATGTAGACATTAACATTGCTTTTGTTTAATTAATTTTGTTATCCCAATAAAAATCCAGCATGTGGAAAAAAGGATCTCTTAGTCCCAAATTAGTACCTTAGACTTCTTGCTACATGTAGCTTTCTGACCAAGTAACACCTATAACTGATGTTTTTATCAAAATTCACCATTTCTGTCAATTACTTAAAGCATGACCTTGAAGAAAGGATTTTTGTGTAGACATTAGACTAAATGTCAATAAATTTTGAGACTGACATTTAATTCTTAATTAATGACAGAAATTATCTTTTCTATAAACCTTGACCTTGACTGGAGGTTACTTTATAGTAATTACTTTAAAAACCACCCCAATAAACATGACATTTCTTCTCGGAAAATTTTAGAAAAAAATTCTTTTGAATAAATGAACTGCATGAGCATTAAATCCTTAGACAGACTTAAAGTCAAATGAACTCTGACTAAATGCATGCAGATATAAGGCCGCTGGGCCACTGTCAGAGATTTAGAAGCTGTACCAAGATCTGACCACTGTCAGAGATTTAGAAGCTGTACCAAGATCTGACCTGCTTATAGTACTGTTATGCATGCAATTCATAATAATGTGTTTAGCATGAGATAAATAATCTGCACTTAATCATTCACTAAAAATTCAAGGAAAAATACAAAATGAACCACCAAAGAAGATGTATATATATGATGTCTACTTATAGCTATATATGTATACATTACTACAGATGATAAAAATGCTTCATTCATTTTATTATCAATTTTTAACAAATTAATTAAGACATTTTAATTATAACATCATGATATTTACAACAATGATGTATGACATACCATCCTTCTTTATCAGACCACTGTTGTTTCCAGACACACCTGATCCAGTGTGGCTTCCATTGGGTACCTCCAGTAACTGGACCTCTTCTGGACTGACCGGCACCACCTCATGATCACCACGGTGCCACGCAGGGTCCCCTCCAGAAGTTTCATTGTCACTCATATCACTGCAAAAAAACTAAATATTAAGGAAATCACTGCAGTTGATACAGAGATATTAGGAGAAGTATTGACATCTGTCAGTCATGTAGAGAAGCGAGTCCAACAACGGACAGAATTAAGATTTCATTCCTACTAATCACCTCCGTGGTATACAGTCCCCAATCATGACAATACAGGAATCTGACTTATATACAGCCTGTCCATATCCAAGCCAGAATTCCAATAACTGTTTTAACCCATTTTCTATTGAATATAGATTTAACTCCTTCTCAAACTCCCACTACTGAGTTTAGGCATACAGCATATATATATTTTTTGCTTCATTTTTGTGGCTTTCTCTGGGAAAAGGTTATACACTGGCAGGTGATAATGAATTATATTATGCCAGGAAATTGTAGGCAATTAATATATTCCTGGAAAAAAAAGGAATTTATTCACAAATGATAGACAACTGTGAAGTTTCCATGTCTTATAAAGAAGATCCATTTCCTCATTTTTTTTCATAAACGTTCAATGATGAACTTTTTAATGACGACATCAAATCCTTGGGCTCCAACCACATAGGTCTTTTATCTCTTTATCAGGATCTAAGGTTTCACTAATTAAACAAAAACATCTAGGTTGCTATAGAAACAGAATTAAACGAACATTTTAATCAGGGAAACCTGGACAATACATCAAAGCCTCATGGTTCTAAGTATTGTTTAGATTTAAATTTTTAAAAATCATATTTTTCATCAAAATTGGAAGAAGGGCATGTTTTCACTAATGTTGATCTGTCTGTGTGTCTGTCAACATCTCAGCTATAGTTTTGTAAAATTTTGTTAGAAAAAGATTTTGTGCCTTTATCCAAAATACAATCACATAAGTTTTAGCTTCTCTTAAAGGGAAGAGGGGAGTAATGGTGGGTGGGTGGGGGAGTTTAAATTGGTTTTTATTACACCTCTAGTGATTTTTTACTATATTTAAAATGTAAAAGAAATTCCTTAATGTTGCTTAATCCTTAAAACTCAATTGAATTCACTATCCCCTTTCAAACTAGATATAAGAGTATAACTTTTTACACAGTTTCATGATGTATACATACAAGGTTCACATTTGATATCCAGGCCAATCAGCAATACTGTGGGTGGAGCTAGCATAATTAGCTTTCATCTTAGACTGCACTGACAATACTTGTACGTATAGGCTGTCAATAGGCAATTAGTCATGTAATCAAAGCATTTCATCTTTAAAACTTAATCCTTATTTAAGTCAAGACTGCCTGCTATCTAAAATGTAGGACTGAGCAGTTCTACCTAAAGTAAATAATTGAAGATGAATGTGATTTTTGGTGATCAACTAACATGTATTATTTCTTTTTTTTTTCAATTGTTGCTTTTATTAAAAAAAAAAATTAAATTTGTTATAGGAAATCATTAGAAAACAATGTAGTCACAAAGTTAAAAGCCATTTTACTCCTCGATTTATAGCAAAATTTAGGTAAAATATTGGGAAGGGGAATCATGAATTTGTCCTAAATTTTGCTATTACTTATTTGAAACAGGTACCAAAAGACAGTTAAAAATAAAATCAATTGAAAACAAGTCAATGCTGAACATTGGTTTTATTTAAAAAACGAATGTATGCAGGTGATCTGAAATTACATTTTCAAGTTGTTTAGTGACTGAGTTAAGAATATTAAAATCATGAAGTCCAAAGCCAGGAAAATCTAAATTTCTCAATTAGATGCCATTTACATTTCCAAAAATGGTACAAAAATGCATTTCTTGAGAATTTAACAGAAAGCAATTTCTCCCAATTCATTTTCCATTTGAATACATGATCACAGTTCATTTTGAGATTCAAATAACCATCCAATTTATCCATGATCATACAAAAAAAAGCAGTGATATGCAATCAACATTTATTTTATATATTAAACATGTTAAAGATTCCCTTACTAGATGATTTACCAAGATTTATTTCAATAATTATAATAATCAACACAAATATTTAAGGAAAATTCCTTCAGATCGAGGTTTAAATTTACTGAAGATCATTGACAAACATTTACCTACTCCGGATCAATGGCAAAGCGGACCCTCTTTTGGGAGCGGGATTTCATTTTCACCCTTTGCAAAGGCATCATGTAATCCAGAAAATAATGTTATGCTGTCCTGTTACATAATGTCAACAATCAGAGTGTGAATACTGAGCAGGTCGTAGATAAGTCCTGATGTAACAGGGTCTGTTAATCGGACTCCCTGCGACGTTACTACATATGTATGTTGATGTGTTCAAGATTCCTCCTGTTTGCTGAACTGTTATCTTGAGCAAAATGTATTTCAACATAACTTTGTCTGGGCTAAGGACCGTAGCATCAAGTGCCAACATTGCTTTACAAGCATAAGTCTGTACTTACTATAACGGATTAAGTTGCTGCCACTACTATATTTATATATTGTTGCCCTATTTGTCACAGTGACAAGCAGGGACTTAAATTAGCAGTTAGAATCAGACATTTGCCATTGTATTGTGGGTGACTGGTTACTAAATACCACTTGCTCACAAGAAAATCATCTTTATCTTAAATAAAATTGTTCATGCAGTTTCAAAAAACAAAAATAAATGCATTCATTTTGATACAATTTTATAGAGACCTCAAGGTACTAATGTTGGCAACATGATAATAGCTGCATTGTAATGGCCACAGGTTTAGTAGTCCAGAGTGCTTTAATTTGTTAGAAGTGGCCAGACTTCAAAGGATCTAGTACCCCCACAGAAAGCCTTATGAGGAGACATAGGACGTATTATACCTTAGAATGGATGAATGTTTGATGAAGTAATCAAGTCAACATTTATAACATGACTATACCTTACTGGTACATGATTTTACCTTGCTGGTGCATAACCATACCTAACTGGTGCATGACTATATATACCTTACTGGTACATTAATTACCTTACTGGGAAATGACTTTACCTTACAAGTGCATTATACCTCACTGGTACGTGACTATACCATACTGCTACATGACTATACTTTACTGGTACATGATTATACTTTACTGCTACATGCCTATACTTTACTGGTACATGACTATACTTTACTGGTACATGACTATACCTTTACTGGTATACATGACTATACTTTACTTGTACATGACTCTACCATTATACTGCTACATGACTATACTTCACTGGTACATGCCTATAATTTACTGGTACATGACTATTTATAATACCTTACTGGTACATGCCTAAACTTTACTGGTACATGTCTATACTTTACTGGTACATGTACATGACTCTCCCATTATACTGGTAAATGACTATACTTTCCTGGTACATGACTATACCTTACTGGTACATGACTATACCTTACTGGTACATGAATATATCTTACTGGTACATGACTATACTTTACTGGTACATGACTATACTTTACTTGTACATGACTATACCTTTACTGGAACTTGACTATACTTTACTGGTACATGACTATACTTTACTTGTACATGACTCTACTATTATACTGTTACATGACTATACTTTACTGGTACATGACTATACCATTATACTGGTACATGACTATACTTTCCTGGTACATGACTATACCTTACTAGTACATGACTATACCTTTACTAGTACATGATTAAACCATATTATTACCTAACATACTATATGAATTGTAATTAGGCATTTTGAACTGTTTCCTGACTGTACATGACAATAACTTACTGTACATGACTATACCTTTACTGGTACATGAGTACACCCTACTGTACAGAACATATATTTTACTGGTACATGAGTATACCCTACTGTACAGACCATATACCTAACTGGTACAATTGATACACCCTACTGTACATGACTAAACCTTGCTGGTACATGAGTACACCCTACTGTACATGACTAAACCTTACTAGTACATGAGTATACCCTACTGTACATGACTAAACCTTACTGGTACATGAGTACACCCTACTGTACATGACTAAACCTTACTGGTACATGAGTACACCCTACTGTACATGACTAAACCTTGCTGGTACATGAGTACACCCTACTGTACATGACTAAACCTTACTGGTACATGAGTACACCCTACTGTACATGACTATACCTTACTGGTACATGAGTACACCCTACTGTACATGACTAAACCTTACTGGTACATGAGTACACCCTACTGTACATGACTATACCTTACTGGTACATGAGTACATCCTACTGTACAAGACAATACCTTACTGGTACATGAGTACACCCTACTGTACATGACTATACCTTACTGGTACATGAGTACATCCTACTGTACAAGACAATACCTTACTGGTACATGAGTACACCCTACTGTACATGACTATACCTTACTGGTACATGAGTACATCCTACTGTACATGACTATACCTTACTGGTACATGAGTACATCCTACTGTACATGACTAAACCTTACTGGTACATGAGTACATCCTACTGTACAAGACAATACCTTACTGGTACATGAGTACATCCTACTGTACATGACTAAACCTTACTGGTACATGAGTACACCCTACTGTACATGACTATACCTTACTGGTACATGAGTACACCCTACTGTACATGACTAAACCTTACTGGTACATGAGTACACCCTACTGTACATGACTAAACCTTACTGGTACATGAGTATACCCTACTGTACATGACTAAACCTTACTGGTACATGAGTACATCCTACTGTACATGATCATACCTTACTGGTACAGATGAGAACCAGTTCTTTCTAATTTTTACTAAACACCAAAGATCTTGAGATCTTCCCCAATCTGTCTGTATATATTCAATTTAATTTAGATATTAAATATTATGTTTTAAAGATAAGGTGTCAATCTAATGGACAAACAGTGACTTTTATTTAAAAATATATTCTGACTTTAACTAAAGAATGATCAGTAATGAATAAATGTTGATATTTGTACTTAATAATGTAAGTTGACCTGATTTTTGGATAAAAAAAATATTGTGACTTAATTTACTAAAGAAAGATCAGCAAAGAATATATGCTAATGTCAATATTTGTACTGATGTAAGTTGACCTGATTTTTGTTTAAATATATCTCGGTCTGTATTAATCCTGATCAAACATTTATGTAATTTATCTATCTGATAATTGTAAACAACAATTTTTTTACAATGAAATTAAAATGACTTTCTCTCTCTCTCTTTGGTTATATGGTTATTATTGGCAGTTAATTTAAGCCAGCATTGTAAACAACTTTAGGCCAAAATAAAATTATTGTTTGTTTAATTTGGAATTGCCTCCCTCCTCATTTCTTGGCCTGGTATCAGATGTAGCACCCAAACACTTAATTAGCATCAGATCTAAGCAAAAACTAGCTGGGCTCTTGGTTGATGCATTGGAGATACCTTTTACAAAAGTCAAAGTAAAATAGACCTTCAATTTTGAAAAAAAAAAATAAATTCCCTTCCTACTTCTTTGGTCTGAAACCCCCCAGGTGGTAATTCCAAACAAATAATTTTTTAAGGATAGCCGTACGAATATTTCAGGTGTAATGGGGACTGGGTAATTCAGCCCGGTAGCTCAGTGATACAGCACCTGCCTGGTTAGTGGGAGGCCCTGAGTTCCAGTCCCCACCAGGTCAACACTTTTCCCCTCCTGTTTTACATGTAATCTTATCAATGCATGGAGCCAATGCTTTATTATAATGCTTATTTTAAAAATTACTGATGAAAACTAAGAGATGTCAAAACATGAAACACTGATGATCTATGTTTTGTTCCCAGCTTAACATGAGTGGAGGGTCATTTACTTTGGTCTCTAAATTTGTCAGTTGTCCATCAAACTTTGAAAATTCATATTTTTCTTCTCCTATCTGTCAGTCCACTGTGCTCTACTGATCAAGCTAAACTGGTTTAATCCATAGTCCTAGGGTAGTAGAAAGCCATGGTATAGCGTCTTTCTCCTGTCACTTCCAGTGCATGGTATAGCGTCTTTCTCCTATCACTTCAATGGCATGGTATAGTGTCTTCCCCCTGTCACTTTCAGGGCATGGTATACCAGTACAGTCTTTCCCCTGTCACTTTTAGGACATGGAAAAGCGTCTTTCTCCTGTCACTTCCAGGGCATGGTATAGTGTCTTTCACCTTCACTTCCAGGGCATGATATAGTATCTTTCACCTTCACTTTCAGGACATGGTATAATGTCTTTTTACTTGTCACTTCCAGGTGATGATATAATGTCTTTCATCTGTCACTTCTTGGCACAATTACTACACCAAGTAAGTGTTCAGGAAGGGAGAAAATGCAACAAAACAAACCAGGATTCACTTGAATCCCCAGCAGATATTTCAGTGGGTATATATATACTAGAACATATCTAGTTGATAGCTCAGTGGATAGAACATATCTGTCTCGAGTTCAAGGGGGGGGGGGGGGGGGGTTAGGTTCTGGTATGTTCTGTCATATTTTCTCCCTATTACATTTGGTTTCCTTGTTAGGACCCTTTCGGTACTCTCTGGTGGGTCTCTGTGGTGGTAAAATGTGATTGACCGTAAAACATAGCTCAACACAGTGTTAACACTCCATAAGAGATGACACATTTCTTCTCTGAATTGGGACAATTGGTAGTGAGTGATGTATGGCTAATTCATACTACCCTGGGCTTGTGGATTAATCTGCTTAATCAGTAGAGCACTGGTCTGGCATGCCAGAGGTTCTGGGTTCAATCCCTTGCTAAGGCACAAACCTGTGTTGGTTATTCATGATATGTGAGATGATATTGATTTATATATGTTTCAAAATTTGTTTCTGTGGTTTAGTAGGTTCTCATATGCTTTTGTTCTAATGTGACTGAATATATTTAAATCAGCAAATGAATCAATCTTAATATTAAATACATTACACAGCAGGTTTTTTTATGGTCTTAATTTTTTTTTGAAACTTAAATTGTTCCCTCCAGGGGTTGCCAAACATTTAACCAGTACGTGTCCACATGCTTTGGTCACCAAGCTGTGAGGGTGTATCTAGGTTATCAGTCCCCAAACTTTAAAAATTTGAATTGACCGTGTATTGGAGAATAGACTAAGCTTATGTGTTTCCCCTCATTTATCATTAATAAGACAAACACACAGATCTGATGACCTTTTTCAGATAAATTCTGTGATCAAATGTATTCACTAAACAAAGCGTGGATACACGGATCAAAATGTTCACCTGAATATCACCAGATTTCCTATCTTTTGTTTTTATATAAAATTTTGGAGTTCAGTCACTTATTGATCATAAACAGGAACAATCCTGGGAGGATTGGCAACTAAAACTTCGGAATAGAACCACAGACAGTTCATAATAAAAATTACACCTTAAATCTCTTCCATATTTTTTGTCACCAGAATTCCTAGTATCTTTTGTTTTTATTTAAAATTTTGGAGTTCAGTCACTTATTGATCATAAACAGGAAATCAATTAAATCATGGGAGCATGATGACTAAAACTTAGGAAATAAACCCAGTAGACAGTCAAGTCAAAGTTCATAAAAATTACACCTTAAATCTGTTCTATATTTTTTGTCACAATGACAATTTATACAATGGGGAGCAGATCAAAGATAATTTAATAGACTGTCAAAAAAAATCAAGCTTGCAGATGAGTATAGAACACATTCATACAGGGACCTATAAACTATATATATAGTAATATAGGTCCCTCCATTCAGACAAGCAAATTTCAATCAGAAAAGCTCTCTTTTGCCTTGACTCAATCTAGCAAAATAAAACCCTGAGATACACATACTCATGCAAATTTCTGTATGTAATTTAGAATTTATTAATTTGTCATTATTTAGCAGCACTGCTAATTTCTTAAAGATACAGCTTTGGGACACTTTGTTATGAAAAAAAAATTTTACAAAACATTAGAATATGATTATTGTATTTATAATAAACTTATAATAATTACTTTACAAATCAGCTTAAAATAATATTACAAGTAAAAAGGCAATGAATAACTAACAGTTTCAAGTAACAAAGAAATGAATCCAGCATCTAAATATATATATTTATGCTTGCATGGAATGAAAAACAAAATAGTAACATTTCAGAGTTAAATTGATAATTCTGGATTATTGTGGTCACTTGAAATTTTAAAGCAAATCATTTAAAAGCTGCTTCCCCTTAAATATAATTATAAATAAATATAAAACAGCGGATTTTATTACATCTACTATTTCGTTCTTTAAATAAAAAAGATAACAAGGATTCCCCAAATGCATCTGTAAATCTTACCTTGTAAAGATTGAGTTTACCTGCAGGAGATGAATGCATACAGGTATATAGGTATGTAAACATAAACTATATAGTTAAAGGGAGACAACTCAGCTTTTAATAAAAGACCATTTCATAATGGGTGCAGATTTTAATCCTGTATAATGAAAATAAGTATACAACTCTCTTTCTGAACCTACCATACAAATAAGAACACAATATCATAACATGCTATCTGTTTTATCAACCTCTCATTCACCTCTAAGCACAATAATACTAAGTTTTGTTTGTTGTTTTTTTTTAACCTGTAAAAAAAGAAGAAAAAAAGTGCAACTTCCCATATGATTAAAACGCAACTTTTACTGCTGGGCATTACAATGTTTTTGCATTTTTATTAACACATTATTTAATGATTTATCATTTCAGATTATTTAATGCCTTTAATAAATCTTTGACTGAATTATTAAATATGATTAAATTCACCTATCCTTTCTTAGTGGATAATTATAAAGTGAAAACTTTGTATTTTAAGTTTCCTTCCAATACACACGTTGGTTAAATAAATATTTTTATAAACAAAAGGCTTCTGGGCAAGAGTATTCACCAAATTCACCTTATAAATGAATCTCACACAAATCCACCACATAATTATACACTCATACTAGTCAGGAATCTCACTGGTTTGATTTACGTTACTATTTTCATAAATTTAACAAACGAGTTTGCATAGGAATGCAAGTTTGCTGTTCTTCACTTGAAAAGGTATTAAAAGATTGCTGACATATTTCAATGTTAAATCTGGATTCCTATCTGGGCCCCATGCACCTATTATCCTTTGCACTATAACTGGAGTCTGAAGAAAAGTGACTCTAAATCACTTATAAGCATGTCAGTATACAACACTATATATCAACTGGAGCCTGTTCATTTTGTGGTCCGTCATTCACTTATATCACACTTCGTGGAAGTATATGATTTGACTTGAATGTCACAAGGATTTAATTAAAGCTTGCATATCAATTTGAAAAAGTAAATCAAGATTCCCAAATGTTTGCTCTTTAAATGATTTTTTTTTTATTTAAAAATATACAGAAAATCTAATTTAGTGTTTCAGATTCCCATCACACCCCTTCTATTACTTTTCTCCTTTTGCATTGGATGCATCTCCAAACTCATCTCAAAAAATCTGATTTACACACAAAATAAGTTAAAGTGAAGAAGTTTACTTAGTTTGCTGAATATAGAAATTGTTTCTGGGGATTGATTAAGATGGGGTAAATTTCACACATGTGAAACACAGTTTTTCTTTTTACTTACATAGTTATGCAGTAAATAGCTCCCTAATCACCCAAGGCTATTTAAAGTGGATAGCTAAGAGAGAGAGAGAGAGAGAGAGAGAGAGAGAGAGAGAGAATTACATCAGTTATTTCCACTGAAGATTAGTTGAAGAATTGTTGATATTCTGTATTAGCCAATTAATTAAATTTAAATTGTGATATCATTATGGCAGTTACTTCAATTTTTTTTTCTTGAATTGATGACTTTACATCAAATCAAGACAATGGCTTTGCAATTATTTGTGGGGCAAAATTGCTAAATATCCTCTGCAAATATTTGACTGCCACTAGAAATACTGTTATTTTGCATTAAGGCAATCTCTTTATATTATAACTACATGGTAATCGTTGTTTGTTTGCAAAGAAACAAGGTCAATAAATGGGTTACATGCACTTCTGAAGTGGTGTTAATAAAATGCATAAAAATTATCAATCAAAAAATTAAGAACTACAACTAGAAAAACAATTTTAAAAAAATTAATGTGCAATTTACATACCAGGTTGGAGGAAATCTATAGATTTTTGTATTAATATGCTATCCACCATACATATTCAATGTAAGTCTGATAAGGTTCAGATTTATCAACAAACTTGCTAACATGTTAAGATAAATACTGTACTATAATTCACAGTCTTTACAGACAGCTTGTTACAGTCTTTTGTGATGATCTGAGCAGCCCAGCATTTCTCTGCTAAAGCTCAGAGTTAAAAAACAATCACCTTCCACAAAATGTCCTGTGTTTTAATTACCAAAGAGTGATTTTAAAAGGTGTAATGTGTTTTCAATTTTGGACCAATTCTTAGCGCCACCCTTGGACCTAGGGAAATTGATTTTCACAATTTTGGTAGAAGGCTAGCTGCTCTTTATAAGAGATTTCAAACTGCTCTTTATAAGAGATTTCATACAAACAGGTTTTCCTGTTAGATGTCCATAACTTAAGAAAATTTTAAAGGTGTAATGTATAAATTCTCTATATGGCCAACTTAGCCCCACCCTGAATCATTGACCCAATTAAAGGACATGAATTTCACAATTGTTTTAGAGGTCTAGCTAATCATAATCATGTTCGCATGCTTGCTGAAGCAGTTTGCTTGTTAGTTGTGACTTTACTTACAAATAGTAAAGAAGATTTTTGAAGATTTCATGAACCTTAATGTTTTAGGCTCCACTCCTCCAGTCCAAGTTCTGACTCAGATGATACTCAGCTAGGGTACATTAAAGATGACTTGATTCTGGGATATGTTTATGTTAACTCCAATTTGTTGTCGGGGCAGTACAAAAACCATGAAAGTTCTAATGTTTTACCTGCCTGTTCTTGTGATGTGGGTCTGTTTTGATGTATGTTGCAAGTTTCTTTCAGATCAATGCATGCTACATGTACCTCAAAAAGCCTAAAAGAAGATTTGATTTTTATACATACAATATGAATGCATGTACTGTAGATTCCATATTTTTCACTAGTACTTATTATCGACAAATGACTCTTTAACGTCAAATCGTGTGAACAATAATTCACGAATGGACTGTTGATCAAGAGATTTTACATCGATTTCAGCTCCATAAAAATAAAAGTGAGTAATTTTATTTTGCAACTGGTGCTTCTCACGAAATTATGCGATAATTAATTCCTCACCAATATTTAGGAATCTACAGTATAGAAGGTTTTCTCTCAAAACAAAGATATATGTTACTGGTAGGTCAAATATTCAATTCAGATTGTAAAGCAATTTCATGGGCTTTCTCACTTCAAAGAAATTGAAATCATTTGACTTGACTCTGAAAGTTAGCAGACACAGTACATAGTGTAATTATTGTGTTCCTTTTGCTCCATCTAAGATAAATGTACTATCGTGTCTGACCAACAAAGCATTATTTGCAATGTGAGGGAGAAGTTCACAGTCTGAATTGGTCAGTCAGCAACTTCCTCCGATCATCAGTCTCGAATTTTTTTTTCAATGCTTTGTCTAAATTTTTTTGTGGATAATCCCAAATTGTAGACAGATTATCTTTTTCTTAAAAGTTAAATCCATATTTTAGAAAATATGTATTTATTTTTATGAATTAAATCTACTGATGTTAAATTCTACTCTTACAAAAATGTTCCGAGAAGTTTACATTTTTTTTTAAAATTGAATATATAGATTCTATTCAATCTAGATCTAGATATATTTTCTGTATATATTTTGCATACCTGGAACATGTATTCGATTCAAAGTTATTACTGTGTGTACAACATCAGACAACATAAAACTAGATCAGATATTTTTTGTACCGTTTCTTTTTTCATACTTAAAATAAATCTGTTCAAATTCTCCCGTGAGTTGAACTTTTCTTGCTGATTGATGCTTGAAATTAAAACGTTTGTGTGAATACGAAACTCGAAAGTGCGCATGCGCTCCAAATCATAATAATCGCCATTTTCTGTAACACCTACAGAAACTTCAAGATGACATCGTTTGCCGATCATTTTTGGGTAGGTTTGTTTTTATGCGAACGTATATGAATAACATAAAGAAAAATTTTTTAGCAAGTTTTCACATTGTGCTATGGAATCGTCGTGAACGAACGCGATAATTTACATGAAAAGCATGCATGGCTGGAAGGGGGTGTAGCAGCTGTGTTGTGGCAATGATCAGCATTCATTCATATGTCTCCATGTACAAAATGGAGTTTAACAGTTTGTTTTGGACTTAACAAATGGTAAACCGAAATAAAGCAAAAACATACTGCCATGCTTTGTAAAAAGCTTTTCGCATTTTAAGTCGGGGTATGACATTGATGCTGTGGCGAGTGTCATAAGTGCATGTAACTGTAAGACTAAGAAAATCTTGCTTTGACAATTATAGGTTAACACATATGTTTATTAATCAGTTTGAATAAATATTTATCGTGATAAAACTGAGCAAGATCTGTTTGTGTGTAGAAGGATAATGTATGAGGTTTGTGTAAAGTCCATTGAATTGTCTCTTAATGGTAACTTGACTTTCCTTGTTTCACTAAAGCAGAAAGTCAATTATGTATATGTTACTTCTTCCTTTTGTTTAAAGTTTCATTTTCCTTTAAACAACAGCAAAATTAACAGTGATAATGATATCCCGTGTTGACTATTGAAGCCTTTTTTTTTTAACCAGATGAACTTTTATCATAAGATATATAGTATTAATATTATCTTTTCATTTCAGGGGGAGAAAAATAATGGATTTTTTGTTTTGAATCATAATATGAAACAAGGACAACTATCATCCAAAGATTTCATAGATTTTCTTAGGGAAAGGTGAGTCAGTGTATTGCTTACGTCAAAGATTTTCTCAGATAAAGGTTGCTGATGTTAGGTATGTAGACAACTTTCACACTCTTAAGAGCTATCTCTCTTTGTCGGCATACCGTTAATTTTTTCACTATATCCTTTATAACTTACCTGTAAATATTTTAAACCTTCAAACACTTTCAGACTTCTTTCTATGGTCTCTGTATTGCCATGGTATGGGGCAACAGAGACAACATAATGAGCATATATATACAGATTTAATTTGTAAGACTCTGTCCCATAAAGTTAGTAATATAATAAGAGTAAATTTGTAACTTCATTAAAACAATCCCAGATATAAAAAAAATACTCTATGGATTGGCAGTACTTAAATGAAACACTAAAAGAGGGTAAACTTGTCACTTATTTGTTTCTGAAGAACAATTTTAGACTAGAAAAATATCTAATTTTATTAAAACCTGAATACAGAAAGCCAATTTGTAGATTACGTGTATCAACACACAGACTCTTTATAGAATTAGGCAGATATAATAACACACCTAGAACAGAAAGAATATGTATAAATTGTATGCTTAATCAAATTGAAGATGATGAACATTTCCTTATTCACTGTAGCAAATTCACAAAGGAAAGAGAAGACTTACTTAACTTAATCTCATCCAAAGTAAAACATTTTACAAAATTGCCTGATAAACAAAAATTATTCTGGATTCTAAACTGTGAGAAATTAGATATTTTGAATTCTCTTGGAAGATTTTTACAAAAAGCATTACCATAAGTCAAGTCTGAGGCATGTGAACTGTTTTATGATAAATTATGCAAAAAAAAAAATGTACTTTAATATGTGTATGATATAAATATGTAAATTTGCATATATATGATGTATGATATTATTTGTGCAGAATTTATGTACATGTATATGTATAAAAACTATCTGGTTTATTCCTTCTTTTTATGTCTTTCTCCTATCACAGGAGTTCGCATACCTATTATAGGTATTACATATTTTTTTATTTACTGAAAATTTCGGTTAAATTGATAGGTGCTCCTATCAATCATTCAACTCTTTCTCTCTTGTGTGTATGTATATTGTATTACATGTATATAACTATATATAAATAATAATTTACAATGTACTTACTTTTTGCCCCATTAGGGCCTTTAATTGGTAAATAAACTAATTGAATTGAATATAATACAGACAAAACAGAGGTTACGCCAAGTGACCCCAGATTGAACCCGCAAAGGGAAATAACTTTAGTAAATTCTCTTGGAACTCTGCTTTTTACATTCATTAAAAACTGATAAAGAAAAATTTTAAAAAGAAAATGAAATGCATTTTAATAGAAATTTGAAGTAATGAATTTTACTTTTTTGCTACTCATTTCAAGTACAGTGTAATTTATAATTTTTCTGGCTAATACTCAAGTTCACTAAGTGTGACCAAAAGGCAAGAAAATGATTGTTCCAACTTCCCTTTCAAATATTATACTGAGTAATGTAACAGTGATTCTCTGTTTTGAATCTTCTTCTAATACTTAATATTGATTTGTAGTTGTACAGTAGAAGAGACCTATAGCAAGCTTCTAAACAAATTGGCCAAGTCTGTATCAAACAATACACATGGAGGGTAAGTGGGAGGACAAGTCATTATTTCCAATCTAACTTGAAATACAAGATTTGATTGGTTAGCAATCCAGGTGTAAATTTCTGTATGTATTCAATGTAAAAAGTTTAAAATGCATGAAAGAAATTTTCATTTATGAATTGTTTTGCTAGGTTACTGGTCTTGTGTATACATCTTAAGTAGTGAAGGAAGGGTTATCTTGTAAGATTGAAAGATGAAATGTGAAGAGTTCAGTGCTTTTATTTAGTATTGGGGAAAACATATGCATTACATTATATAACTTACATTCTGTATGATTGAATTGAAGTGCCTTGGAGTCATATATGATGCCATCAGTTCATGATCATTCCTAATTGTGGGAACTGTATGAGAAACAGGATGTTAATTTCTGCCACTGACTGTAATGTGTTCTATATTTTACAGCACTGACTGTAATGTTTTATATTTGACAGCACTGACTGTAATGTGTTCTATATTTTACAGCACTGACTGTAATGAGTTCTTCATTTTACAGCACTGACTGTAATGTGTTCTATATTTTACAGCACTGACTGTAATGTGTTTTATATTTTACAGCCATGACTGTAATGTGTTCTATATTTTACAGCACTGACTGTAATGTGTTTTATATTTTACAGCCATGACTGTAATGTTTTTCTATATTTTACAGCACTGACTGTTATGTGTTATATATTTTACAGCACATTTGCCCCATTCTGGAACGTATTAAAGACCCTAGCAGAAAAGATTTCCACTCTTCACACACAACTGGTACACTCTCTGACAGATCTAATGAAGGATGTGGCTCGGTATAGTGAGGAACAAGTTAAAAAGAATAAAGCGGTGAGACTGTAATATGTAAATATTGCATATAGTTGTGCAACATTGAAAATTTTTCACCCCAAGAAAACCATCGTCAACCGAGGCGCAGCCGAGGTTGACAAGGGTTTCCGAGGATAGAAAATTTCAATGTTACATTCAACTACATGCAGTATTTATTATATTATACTGAATTTGTTATACAAATACATATTACAGGGATCTTTGCACGCATAAATTCTGTTTCTTGATGAATCAGATTCAACTAATTTACATGAAAGTATAATAATACAAAATATCTCCCTGTATATGTGTTCAAATTAAAGAGAATAAAGCGGTGAGACTGTAATATAAAATTTCTCTCTGTATGTGTGTTCAAATTAAAGAGAATAAAGTGGTGAGACTGTAATATAAAATATCTCTCTGTATATGTGTGTTCAAATTAAAGAGAATAAAGCGGTGAGACTGTAATATAAAATATCTCTCTGTATATGTGTGTTCAAATTAAAGAGAATAAAGCAGTGAGACTGTAATATAAAATATCTCTCTGTATATGTGTGTTCAAATTAAAGAGAATCTTCTTGATATTGAAAGTATTTTTTTTCTGTTACATGTATTGTCATTTGTAAAAACAGATTGACATATGTTGACTCATTCCAAATGGTCAATAAATAAGTTAATTTTTGGACTGACACATAAGATTTATTTGAATGCTCGAAATTCAAAATGTTCTCCTATTCAGGTGAAGGAACGTGAGGCGAGTACACTAGAAACAGTGAACAACATTCAACACACAACAGCTGCTCTTCATAAGGTATGCACTGTCTCACATCTGTGTATTTAAATAGAGATGGCCTTTCTTATTGTTGATGATTATGTCTTCTTAGCTCTTCATAAGGTACACACTGTCTCGTATCTTTGTATTTAAATACAGATGGCCTTTCGTAATATGGATGAATGATTATGTCTTTATATGCATAATTATGTTTAATAAAAAACAATGTCTGAGAAATGAAGGTTTTGTACTAGAAGCGAAGATTGTTTCTAACTTAATTTGGTCCTGGTAGTACTTCTACTACTGTTGCAAAGAATTCAAATATTTTACCTTCTTAGTAATCTGGCACTTAAATGTCATGTTTATTTTCTGCCTTCAGGTGTCACACTTTGAAGGCAATGGTTCTTTTATGAAGATATTTAGAATCAAACCACAATAATTAGTTATATCAAAATAATGAAAAATAAACTTCTGTTAATTCAAAAGGTAGAAAGTTTTGCTTTCATGATTAGTTACATTTTAGAATGAAAAAGAATTTTTTTACATGTATTTATTTCAGCATAGAAATATGAAGAGTTTTTTTTTTTTTTTTAAAGTAGAGGTTTTTTTTTTTGTTTTTGTTTTTTAGTATATTTATTTACATGTATGTATAGTTTTTTACTTACAATAAGAAGACTCTTTTTTTTATTTTAGGCAAAGGAAATATATCACACAAGATGTTTAGAGTTGGAGAGATTAAAAAGAGATGGTTCATCTCAAAAAGACATTGAGAAGGTATTTATACGGTGGATCCCATTGTACTTGTACAGTTAAGTTAAATATTTGGAATGTTACATGATTTATATGACTTTTTTGTTTAATTTTAAGGCAGAGACAAAATACAAGAAAGCCAGTAAGTAGAGCTTGTCTTCATTCAGTTGTCAGTGAATAAGATGGTAGATTGTAGTATAGAAAGTATCATATTTTAATTAAATAGCTAAGTATGAATCACAAAATAATTCTCTCTGTTCCCTATTTCTTATTCTGTACATTCTACTGAAAGGTGAAGATTACAGATCCCTGGTTGAGAAATATGCAAATGTCAGAAATGAATTTGAGACAAAAATGATGGATTCCTGTAAGGTAAATATGAAATAAAATAGTTGACTCATATCAATTGATATTTGGTATGGGATATCTTATTTTAAGAAAAATAAATGTCAGGTTGAAAAACACCATGCCATGCTCTGATATTTACTTACCTGTGTTTTTTATTCACCTGTAATACTTTTTACCTGTGTTTTTACAGAGATTTCAGGAGCTGGAGGAGGAACACATTTGTCAGATGAAGGACTTTGTAGATTCTTTTGCTAAAGCTTGGCAGAATGAACATGTGATGCTGGGTCAGGTACGCAACTTAATGGAAACAGACTGAACCATTCTCATTTTTTTTTTGTAAAAACAAGGGCTAAATATGCATTACTATAAGATTGTCTGTGTCTGTTTCACAGGTACATGAAGAATTTCGTCAAAGTTGTGATGAATTGACTGTTCTTAAACTCTTAGAAATTTTCATCAATTCTAAGAAAACAGGAGAAGAAAAACCAGGTTAACATCTAAAATTTTCTCTAAAGTATTTGTCTCAAATTCTTAAGGTATTATGATATTACTTGTACAATTCTGTAAGACTGAGTCATTGAAAATTCAAAAGAATATTATATCAGATTTCCTGTTTTGCCTTTGGCTAGTGTAAGATCTTATACAATAATTCCTGAGATATTTTATATATCTGTATATTTCTATACTTGTAAAACAGGACCTTTAGAGTTTGTAGAGCCCAATTTTTCCAGCCTGCCTCCAGCTCGTCCTATGTCTCCCGACCCTAACGATAAACGGGATAGCATATCGGAGAAATCTCGCCAAGGTAAGCTGTCATGTCATGTATTGGTGTGGGCCATCTTTTGTAGTTCACAAAATTGTTCAACACAAATAAGCACACAGCAAATAAAAGAGGCAAATTTGTGAAGAATTTGACATAAATTTAGCGGTTATAGATTAGTTCAGGGAAGTAGTTATTTATCAGTTTGCTTCCTGTGCGACCATTTGATAGATTTATCACTGATGGAGATTTTTCCTGATTGACAGTATCTTTTTTCAGTTTGTGTTGTACTGTTTTGTGTGGATGTTTTATTTGTAGATTATTGTGTACTATGTTTGACTGATGTAATGTCCTCTAATACCATTAATACTGCTATAATCATAGTCTACAAAAGTCTTTGATTTGTGGGAAAATTTTGTAGGGACACAATAACTACCAAGATAAAAAAGAAAAGAAACCCCCCGCATCAGTGACCCAGCTTGATTTATAATATTCCAAAATTTGTTCCAATTCTGGTTTATTATTATATATAACAGTGACGGTGGTTAAGCGGATGCTAGGGAGAGTATGATTGTTTGAACAGCTGTTAGATGTAAAATTCAAGGGGAAGGGACAATTAGCAAAAATCACAAATGTTACATGAAATGGGAATTCTCAGTACAGAATATTGACAAATGTTTAATAAATAGGTAGGAATACAGTTAGTTTCAAATCGCATTAGAATTTAGTATCAGTAGACGTTTGATTGATGGGGAATCCAATAACATTGTTAGTTAATCATAGTCATGGTCTAATGACACAATTAAATGTTTACTTAATCCACTGCAAGTAAATCAGATTTATTTTAATTAAATATTTTATTATCTGTATTCATATTACTAGTAAAGTTTTGTATTTCTCTATGGTATTATAGTTTGAAAATGGAATTGAAAAATTGAAACTGAAACCCTCCAAAAATGTTAACCAAACAAAAGAAAATGTCTTATAATTTCATTTCTAAGGAGATTTAATTTCAATCAAGAGTCTTTGAATCCATTATGAACATAGAAGTTTGTTATCTTGGGGAAATCTGACCTTTGTGTTGCTTTTTTTGTGTAAGCTTTTTATTAATTGTGTAGTGAGAACTGATTTGTTGCGATTATTTAATTTGCAGATTTAACTCTCTTCTCTGGTAGTGTATACACACTTATAGAAACCCCCCTCCCCCTTATATGTATTTATTTGACAATGTCTACATACCACTGAAGTGAATGTAGTCATGTATGTTGTTTCATTAAGCACCTTAATGCCACCTGACATGAAAGTCCCCCATGTCCCATGCTATTTTATATAGATACATCTCAGTCCTGATCACAACCAAAATGCTATAAATTCATTAAATTTGAAAGTGGTCTTTCTCTAAATTGTATTGGCGAGTCTGAATGAAAGAGATTTAATAGCTAGTATCAGTGAACAGGGCTGAGAGTTACCCACCAGTTATCACTGTTTATCATATCCAGCTTGATTTCTTTTAAACAAGGAACTTGCTTAAGTTTTAAAACTGAATATTTTTAGATACCTTGTTCAGATTCTGGTTAAAGTTTATTCTTTTGTACTAAATATTTTACAAATTGATGCTATAATTAAATTGTAATATATTGTTGTTTCACAATAATTAACTGTGTACTGTCATTCAGCAGAAGTTTCTTACACAGAAAGCAGTTTTTTTCTTATATAAAAAGGGTAATTTTTTTTTTTGAAAAGGAGAAAAATGAATCAATAAAGCAAGAAAACTAATGAATCAAGCTTGAAGCCCAATTTCTTTATCACCATCCCTCCACCCCAGTGATAGGCATGAATTCTTGGATCCTCCACACACTGACTTTTGATCACCATACTTTGCAGACTCTAGCGGTAGTCCCAGTCCCGTCCCCTCGGATCAGCCTGGCCCGCTCAGCCGCAGCGTAAATCTCCGCGTCTCCAGAACATGTAAACTTGAGTGTTACTACTATGTTGGTTGTGTGGTTTGTGTGTGCTAGTCTTTCCTACTAACTGCCCTCTCTTGCTGCCTTTTTATATTGAATTCTTTTTTTATTTCAAGTCAGTATATATGCATTTTAATTCATTTTTCTGTTATTTATAGACATTTATTGATATTATTTTGAGTTTTATGTAGAAGGCCGAACTGTTTAAATTGGCTTGTAGGGAAGACTTCGTATTTATTGTAGATATCAATTTTCATGGCTTTGGTAAAACTGTAGTTCATTATTACCTCAATTGTAATCACCATATCAGATAAAATATATGAATCTGTCTACCATAAGGAAGATTTACATTTATTGTTAATAAAATAATAAACAGGAGAAGTGTTACATAATTTTGGGTATAGGAAGGTTAGTCAGAGCACAATGAACTAACAGCTATTAATCAAGATAATTATCCTGTGTCCAGTGATATCCATGAGAATTGATCCCATGCAGTTTTTTGTTTTGTTTTTGTTTTTTTTTTTTTTTGCTTTTTCTTTTCACCAGAATTTATTTGCTAGAAAATTGCAAGCTTAATCAGAGATGTTATGTACATGTATATCAGTATTTTACAGGCACTATTTTGAAGTTGATTTTCTATTTAAGTTTGTTTAACAGTCTGTCACATAAATTATATTTAATAAATTACTGCACCATTCAGCAGTTGGTTTATTTTTTCTGCTAGATTTATATAAATTACTTCACCATTTAGCAGTTGGTTGAATTCTTGAGCTTGAGTGTAAATATTTACTGTCAGTGTTTTCATTAAGTAATTATATTTCCTTATTCTTTTTCTCTATATAGACATAACTTTAAATCAGTCATAATACTGGAATTTTTCCTCCATTATGAAGTCACAGATTTTCTTTGTTAAATCTTTGCTAGACTGTTCTGTAAAAGGGAGCTGTAAGCATGCTATTCTTTGAAATGTACACAAAGAAACCCCAGTTTTACCATAATATGTATGTAGTTTATTAAGTGTGCATGGGTATGGGGGAAATACAGTATATTTATGCAGTGTGTACGTTTCTTTAATCACAGTTTATGTGGATAGTTGTGTAAAAGGAAAAAAGAGCTTCGCATGGTTTGCTTCTGTAGACAGTTTCACAAATGGCATGCTCTAGACTCATTGTTCATTTTAGAAAATGCCAAGAAGAATCTTTTAGTACAACAAGCAAATTGTTTTCATTTGATTAAAATTCAGATCTAAGGATGAAACTTCTGAATGTAATTTTGTACATTAATGTTTATTGCAAATTATTGTCCATTGTGGTGATTTATAGATAACGGTACATTATAATCTGGATTGTAAATTTCAGGGTTTCTCAAAAATAAAAAGAAAAAAGAGAAGAAAAAGAAGAAAAAAGACAAAGAAGAAAAAGAAGCACAGTCCTCAGACACACAGTCAGTGTAAGTCCTCCCCCTCCATAGTCCTCAGACACACAATGTAAGTCTCAACCCCCCTCCCCCCACCACCCCCCAGCATTGTCAGACACAGAGTCAGTGTAAGTCCTCCCCTATCAGTTCTCAGACTCACAATCAGTGTAAGTCCCCCCCCTCCCCCCCATTCATAGAGTGAAAGTCCTTGCCCCATAGTCCTCAAACACACAGTCAGTGTAAATCTCCTCCCCCACAGCCCTCAGACACACAGTCAGTGTAAGTCCTCCCCACACAGTCCTCAGACACAGAGTGTAAGTCCTTGATCTCCCACACTCCCCACACAGTGCTCAGACACAGAGTGTAAGTCCTTGATCTCCCACAGTCCTAAGACACACAATCAGTGTAAGTTTCCCCCACCCCCCGTCCTCAGACACACAATGTAAGTCTCCCCCCCCATTCCTTAGACACAGAGTCAGTGTAAGTCCCCCCTCCCACCCAGTCCTCAGCCACGCAGTCAGTGCAAGTCCCCCCCCCCCCCCCCCACCCCCCCAGTTCTCAGTCAGTGTAAGTCTCCCCAATGCTCAGACACACAGCCATTGTAAGTCCTCCCCCAACAGTACCTCGGAACTCAATCAGAGTAAGTTCTCCCCCCACAATCTTCAAACATTCAATCGGTTTAATTCCTCCCCCACTGTCCTCAGACACAGTGTAAGTCCTCCCTACATGGTTCTCACAAGTCCTCAGTGTAGACTCTGAAAACTCCTTTTAATTGTCTATATAGATTTAGGCAGGGTTGGCAAAAAACTGGGAAATACTCGTATTTCCCAGGACTGTGGGAAATACTGGTAATTACCGGGAACTACTGGTATTTCCCGGGAAATACTGGGAAATAAGAAATAGGTACATATTTCATTCATATTGACATGTAGTACACCTTATTGGCTAAGATATCTACCTAGTATGACTGTTCCCGATATAAAAAATTCTGGTTTCCAAGTAATTCATTTTATATACATGTAATCATAACACAGTATATTCATACGAGTATACAATGTACCAATCATGGGTGCTTGAGTCAGATGTAGTCTATAAAGGTCTATGAAATGAACACAAAGATCCCAGTTGGGTTTTTATGTAACTAAAGAAGGATCTAAGAAAATTCTTAAATGTAGAGTATGGTATGAATATCAAATCTGAGAAGAAGCCTTTAGTTTTACTCAAGGTAATTATCTCTCAAAAACAGGACCAAAAAACTGTCCAGAGCAATTTGTTAAAACAACATGTCGATTGATTGTAATAACTACAGTGTTTATAGAAGGATAAAAACAATTTTTTTTGTTCTTGGATTTATAATTAATAAACTTAATAATTTTACAAAACTGAAAAGAAACTTGAATTGAAAAACTTCTGTTTTTGTACAGCCAGGGAAATGTTTCAGAATGCTTTTGGGTATGGGACCTGGAGTAGATGATACATTCTGAGTATGTTATGTAGCACATATTCCATATTATTCATTTTCTGTTTTTATGTTTATTTTATTTTTAAATTTTGTATAAGATCGAATGAATTAGAGAAATAAAGAACTCTAATAACTTAGTATTTCCCAGTATTTCCCAATATTTCCAAGTTTAGAGAAAATTTGTAGTATTTCCCGGGACGGGAAATACCGGTATTTACCACTGGTAATTCCCACCACTGGTATTTCCCGGCCAACCCTGGATTTAGGAATAAAAGTCTTCTTGTTTGTAATGACTATTAATGCTGATCTGAAGGTCACAAACTCAGTTTACTGGCAGCACATCAGCAGAGCCAGTAAAAAGGATGTCTGCAGCCTTTAAATAAGCATTAACATTTGTAAAAGCATATTAGAAAATAGTTACTCCCATTCTAATGCAAATTATGCATTTTGTTAAAGTAGATGTTATTTCATTGAGATTCATTCTTTTGTTAAATTAAATCGGTTATGTTTATGCTTGATGCCTTGGTCTTGTGTCTTTCTATTTTGATGTCACAATCAAAAGCTTTTTACTCATCAGGGCATTAGCCAATCAAAATGCAGATTGCAAAATAGTTGCATTAGAGTTCTTATATACTCTGTAATTGATTAAGCGGGGGTTCTTGATCTTCCATTGATGATTTTGTTTATTATTTTACAGAGACACAACAGAAGGGGTGAGTGAATATTGTGATATATGTTGTGTTTTCATATCAATAAATATTCCAAATTTATAATTAATCTCTTGCCATATGTATTTATCATTGCATAATAAGGAAAAGATAACGCATGTGTGTGCTTGTATATGTATGTGCCTTATCTTGAAGCTCGGTATTCAATATCAGTAATTGAATACAGTTTATTAGGGGTTTTTTTTGATTATCACAAACCTTCTGTTTTATGCAGTTATCATATTTAAGTGTTTTTTAGAGGATTTATTGATAGAAGAAGGTATTTTACAGACAACTCCAGATGTAGATGAGGAGGGCTATTCTATTCGACCTGAGGACCCCATGGAGAATAGCTGTGATAAAAATAGCTGGTCCAGCGAGAGCGACAGTGACTCGGGTAAGTCAGCTAGGAGAAAACTGGGTGATTATGACTCAGTCAATGACTTAGGTAAACACTGACTCAGATAAGTTACTGACTCAGGTGAAACAGTGACTTGGGTTAGTCTGATTGACTCAGGTAAAACAGTGACTCAGGTAAGTCACTGACACAGGTAAATCAGTGACTCGGGTAAAACAGTGACTCAGGTAAGTCACTGACTCGGGTAAAACAGTGACTCAGGTTAGTTTGGGTATACTGGGTGATTGTGACTCAAATAAGATAGTTTTGGGAATACTGGGTGTTTGTGACTCTTGTAAATTAGTTTGGGGAATATTGAGTGATGGTGACCCTGTAAATTAGTCTGGGGAATACTGGGTAGTTGTGACTAAGGTAATTCTATTTAGCATATTGGAGTTGCGATGTAACTAACTAAAGTTAAACATGATATTGATTGAATATAGAAATTTATCTGAGATACTTTAAAGGATCTGGTGAATTAATATGTATATTATGTGTGTGATAGAGAAGATATATCTGTAACGAAGATAAAATGACTTATAGCAACAAGAGAAAAATGTCTTGATTGTAAAACTAAGCCTATAGGAACCATAGAAATAATCTTTGACATAGAAAGTGTGATTATTTTGTCGTGTTTTGTCATCTATGTGTAATAAAGAAGAGGGTGAAGAATTCTGTAATATACATGTAAATATGAAATATTAATTTTTTTTTTTAAAAAACCCAATTCAAAACCAGAAATTCATCAATGACCAGGCCCCAGGATCGTGAAACAGACTTAGACTTAGGTCAAAATTTTAATCGTCTACAAAATGTTTATTACTTGTGAATTGAAACTCTTAATTTCCATACAACAGTAGTCTATATATGCAAAGTTAAACACCATTTAAATTTTGGTCTGCTTGATTTCTAAATCAATTCGGTGAAATGCACATTTCTTGACTTAATCCTAAGATGTTTCATGATCCCGGGGCCAGGACAATTGAAAAAATCATGTCTTACCTGATAATATCAGTGTACTTATTTTGACATTACAGATGATGAATCAAAAAGGAAAATCAAAGTAGCGATCCGTCCTTTAAGTCCAAATGGCAATGTGTCTGGAACTGTAGACGATATCAAACAGTCCGTCAGTCAGCTAAGACTGTCACCCACAGCAGCCCTTGTATGTACTTAATTGATTGTTTGTTTGATAGCTTGTAGTAATGCCCGGTTTGGATAATTTGGAAAAATTCAATCTGAAGCCTGGTAATCTCTGAAAGTTACTGTTTGATAAGGATAAATTGATAAGATTTTTCTTGACAGAGAAAAAGAACCACCACACCTATAGACAAAAAGATGATGAAGAGGTCACAGTCAGAGTCGGACACTCTGGAGTAAGTACATGTACTTGTACAGAAACCACAATCAGTTACATATACAAAGTCTGACAGAAATCTGTAGTTCGTTTTGAATGTGCATTTCAAATCACAATGTCTGAGCCAGTTTTTATATTGCTTGTGTAGCATGGCTGACAAATAGGTATTGCTTGTCTGATGTATGTCTGTCTGTCCTTCTATTTATGTGAAATAAGTTACACCTTTCTTGCTGGCTTATTAAGGGTTTAATATGTATTTTTTTAGCTCACCTGAGCTGAAAGCTCAAGTGAGCTTCTTTGGTCAAAATTTGTCAATACCTGTCTTTGATGTTGTCATAATATTTTCACATTTTCAACTTCTAAAGAACCACGTGGCTAACTTCAACCAAACTTACCACAAAGCATCCTTGGGTTAAGAAAATTCAAGTTTGTTCAAATGACGGGCTATTCCTTCTTTCAAGGGGAGATAATTAAGAAATACTTTATACAGGGTTATTTTTGCCCCATGTTATTTTTGCCCTTTTACACTTGCAAACAATTTTACCCCATTTTAAATTCGCCCAGTCACAGTTTTGTTTAAGGAATTATACTGTGTTTGAATTCACCCTGTTTTAAATTCACCCACTTGTGACACGGGCGAAAGGGGGCGAAAATTTCCCCGTATACAGTAATGAAAATTAGATGGGATTTTAAGCAATCTTCTTCCCAAGAACAGCTGGGCTGGAAATGAGGAAACTTACATGAAAGCTTTATTACATAGTTATTACATAGTGTAGATTCAAGTTTATTCAAATCATAACCTCTTGGAGTAGGATGGGGCCATAATGGGTGATCAAAGTTTTACACAAAAATTCATTGAAAAATGAAAATCTTCTCATCAAAAACAGCAAAGCCATGATTATTCATATTTACGCGGATGCATTCTTAGGAAGTATACATTCATATTTGTTTAAATCATGACCACTGGGGGTAGGGTAGCGCCACAATGGGCGATCGAAGTTTTACTTGTATGTAAAATTTTTTAAAAAGTTTTCTAAAAAACAATAAAGTCATGATTATATTTCAATGGAAGCATCCTCAGATAGTGTAGATTCAAGTTTGTTAAATTCTTGACCCCCTTGGATTAGGGTGGGGTCATAGTATATGATAAAAGTTTTAAGTAGAAATATGGGGAGGGGGAATCTACTGATGAAGAACAGCAGGGCTATATTGACTCAGGTGAGCATTGTGACCCATGGGCTTTTTGTTTCTGCAATGTTGCAATTGTTCATTCCCATATAAACAACTGAAGAGATTTTTATTGTTTGATGAATAATTTTTAATGTGAAAAAGCTAAGAACAGTGTAATCATAAACACTTAAATTTGTATAAATTAAATACACATTATTATGTGCCAAGTGAAAAGTACACCATACATGTTCCTTGAAAATCCTAGTTAATTTAAAGTAATTCTATCAAAAGTATTATCCAGGCATATAGAGTTTAATGAAGAATCACTTTATTGTGTCATACTCTAATCATTGATGGTCATCCAAAGAAGGACTCATGCGTGAAATTCCTGTCATGAATATTCATGTTTTAAAAGCTGTTTTTATTTGTTTTGTTTTCGAGAGGTCAACTGTGTCTTCCATTTTAGTCCAGTAAAACCAAACCAGGACCTGTTAAACTTGGACTTCTTTTCCTCGTCAAGTGCTTCCACCCCAACAGGCAGCCGCTACAATCTCCCGTCACCGTTATCTCCCCTGGCGGACACCAGTCTACAAAACAACACCAGCCATAGTATTGCTTCAACATCACTCCACAATTCTAGTATGTCAACATACCCAGTACTAAACAGCCATAGTATTGCTACAACACCACTCAATAATTCTAGATAGTCAACATACCCATTACAAAACAACACCAGTCATAGTATTGCTAAAGCACCACTTCACAATGCTAGCAGATCAAATACAATCCATCAATTCAACATGTCCAAAATACACAACATTAAATGACACATAAGTCAGCAGTACACTACACAAAAATGATCACCAAATCATTAATATACCACAGAATCAACAATTCCTGTATTCAATGATGCACAATATAACATACTCCTCAGAAATTTTATACAGTCAACAGTGCTGCTCATAATCATTCATTATGTGCTCATTTTATTTTGTAGTAATTATAAAGACAAGGAAAATTTTAGTATTTTAATATTTTGTTGAATTATTAGCTTGGTAAGATCTTCCTAAAATTTTACTGTTCAGTGTAAAAGTTGTGAGTAATGTAGAACTTTTTAATTGATCCTTCATGTATGTGATTTTTCAGGTGGAAATGATGTGTTAAACAATAGTAACGGGTCAAAAGACAGCTCTAGTCTAAACAACTCTCTCCCAGGACCACCCCCATCTATCCCACAACGGCCAGTCTCTCAACCCAGAGTCAAGTCTAGTGTACCCCAGGTCAGTCAATAAACACAAAATGTTTTATCTGAACCATTGAAATAAACAGGGAATTTTGTCGTTGCTTACAGAAGAATTGTATTATTATGCTCCTGTATCTGTTGTCACCACCAACATCCTTGAATTATTTTTGCTGGAACTTCACTTGCCCTAATCTCTGATCACCATACTAAAATCCTTCATTTATTTGGCAGCAGCTCCCCTCGTGCCCGATCTCTTGTCACTATACTAATGTCCTTGATTTGTCTATGCAGTACCTTCCCTCCCACCCGATCTCTGGTCAGCATGCTAACTGTAACATTAATTTTAGCTTCCCTGGCACACAATCTCTAGACACCATACTGACAGTAACACTTATTTTTAGCTCTACTGGTCAGAGACCAGAAGAGCTTATGCGATAGTAAGGTGTCCGCCGTCTGTCTGTGTGTCTGTCTGTCTGTAACAAATTTTGGTCGCAGTTTTCTCAGCAACTACTCATTGCAGATGCTTGAAATTTTAGCACAATCTTTGTTTAGGCATGCCATATGGTGGGATTCATTTTGGTACTAATTCGATGTCAACTTCCTGTTTATCCTCGCGTCTGTTCATACCATACATAACAAATTTTGGTCATAGTTTTCTCAGCAACTACTCATCGCAGATGCTTGAAATTTTAGCACACTCTTTGTTTAGGCATGCCATATGGTGGGATTCATTTTTGTACGAATCTGATTTCAACTTCCTGTTTATCCCTGCGTCTAACCGTACCATACGTAACAAAATTTGGTGGCAGTTTTCTCAGCAACTACTCATCCCAGATACTTGAAATTTTAACACACTCTTTCTTTAGGCATGCCATATGGTGGGATTCATTTTTGTACGAATCTGATATAAACTTCCTGTTTATCCATGCATCTGTCTGTACCATACATAACAAATTTTGGTCGTAGTTTTCTCAGCAACTACTCATTGCAGATGCTTGAAATTTTAACACACTCTTTGTTTTGGCATGCCATATGGTGGGATTCATTTTTGTACTAATCCGATGTCAACTTCCTGTTTATCCGTGCGTCTAACCATACCATACATAACAAACTTTGGTCGCAGTTTTCTCAGCAACTACTCATCCCAGATGCTTGAAATTTTAACACACTCTTTGTTTAGGCATGCAATATGGTGGGATTCATTTTTGTACGAATCTGATGTCAACTTCCTGTTTATCCGAGCGTCTGTCCATACCATACATAACAAATTTTGGTCGTATTTTCTCAACAACTACTCATCGCAGATGCTTGAAATTTTAGCACAATCTTGTTTTAGGCATGCCATATGATGGGATTCATTTTGGTACAAATCCGATGTCAACTTCCTGTTTATCCCTGCATCTGTCTGTACCATACATAACAAATTTTGGTCGTAGTTTTCTCAGCAACTACTGATCGCAGGTGCTTGAAATCTTAAAACAATATTTGTTTAGGCATGCCATATGTTGGGATTCATTTTTGTACGAATCTGATGTAAACTTCCAGTTTATCCGTGAGTCTGTCCGTACCATACATAACAAATTTTGGTCATAGTTTTCTCAGCAACTACTCATCGCAGATGCTTGAAATTTTTACACACTCTTTGTTTAGGCATGCCATATGTTGGGCATCTTCGCTAGCCAAGGGTTTCTGATACGCTACTCTCCTCATAAACCCTTGGCATACGGTGCTGATAAAAGACGGGATTGTTTTTGTCACGTGATCATGATTCTTACCAGGCACGCACAGATTGCATCATCGACAGAAATAAAAAGCGTATTTAAAAAAAATTTTGTTTTTAAAGAATAATTAACAAGAAGGTATCGAGTTATGTTAATTTGTTATTTAAACATGTAAAAATGCAAATCTACATCTTCAGTATAGATTCTTAATCACATGTTTTGCACGTAGCTTTACATATTGGATGACACCATATATAGCTATTCATAGAATGGCATGTTATCTTACGGATCATTGTTTACTTGCGTTTTACATTACCGATATTAAAGAGTCAAGATATATCCCGAACGCAAATATCGTCATTCACAAAAACAATTGCTGATTGGTCGAACGATATCGATCAACTCCAATCACAACTTGAGAAAAAAATCCCAACTTTTTTTAACACCGTATGCCAAGGGCTTATGAGGAGAGTAGCGTATCAGAAACCCTTGGCCAGCGAAGATGTATGTTGGGATTCATTTTTGTATGAATCTGATGTAAACTTCCAGTTTATCTGTGAGTCTGTCCGTACCATACGTAACAAATTTTGGTCATAGTTTTCTCAGCAACTACTCATCGCAGATGCTTGAAATTTTAGCACACTCTTTGTTTAGGCATGCCATATGGTGGGATTCATTTTTGTACAAATCTGATTTCAACTTCCTGTTTATCCCTGCGTCTAACCGTACCATACGTAACAAAATTTGGTGGCAGTTTTCTCAGCAACTACTCATCCCAGATAACTGAAATTTTAACACACTCTTTCTTTAGGCATGCCTTATGTTGGGATTCATTTTTGTACAAATCTGATATAAACTTCCTGTTTATCCATGCATCTGTCTGTACCATACATAACAAATTTTGGTTGTAGTTTTCTCAGCAACTACTCATTGCAGATGCTTGAAATTTTAATACACTCTTTGTTTTGGCATGCCATATGTTGGGATTCATTTTTGTTCTAATCCGATGTCAACTTCCTGTTTATCCGTGCGTCTAACCATACCATACATAACAAACTTTGGTCGCAGTTTTCTCAGCAACTACTCATCGCAGATGCTTGAAATTTTAGCACAGTCTTGTTTTAGGCATGCCATATGATGGGATTCATTTTGGTACAAATCCGATGTCAACTTCCTGTTTATCCCTGCATCTGTCTGTACCATACATAACAAATTTTGGTCGTAGTTTTCTCAGCAACTACTGATCACAGGTGCTTGAAATCTTAAAACAATATTTGTTTAGGCATGCCATATGATGGGATTCATTTTTGTACGAATCTGATGTAAACTTCCAGTTTATCCGTGAGTCTGTCCGTACCATACGTAACAAATTTTGGTCATAGTTTTCTCAGCAACTACTCATCGCAGATGCTTGAAATTTTTACACACTCTTTGTTTAGGCATGCCATATGTTGGGATTCATTTTTGTACTAATCCGATGTCAACTTCCTGTTTATCAGTCCGTCTAACCATACCATACAAAACAAACTTTGGTCGCAGTTTTCTCAGCAACTACTCATCCCAGATGCTTGAAATCTTAAAACAATGTTTAGGCATGCCATATGTTGGGATTCATTTTTGTACGAATCTGATGTAAACTTCCAGTTTATCTGTGAGTCTGTCCGTACCATACATAACAAATTTTGGTCATAGTTTTCTCAGCAACTACTCATCGCAGATGCTTGAAATTTTTACACACTCTTTGTTTAGGCATGCCATATGTTGGGATTCATTTTTGTACTAATCCGATGTCAACTTCCTGTTTATCAGTCCGTCTAACCATACCATACAAAACAAACTTTGGTCGCAGTTTTCTCAGCAACTACTCATCCCAGATGCTTGAAATTTTAACACACTCTTTGTTTAGGCATGCGATATGGTGGGATTCATTTTTGTACGAATCTGATGTCAACTTCCTGTTTATCCCTGCATCTGTCTGTACCATACATAACAAATTTTGGTCGCAGTTTTCTAAGCAACTACTCATCACAGGTGCTTGAAATCTTAAAACAATATTTGTTTAGGCATGCCATATGTTGGGATTCATTTTTTACTAATCCAATGTCAATTTCCTGATTATCACTGTGTTTGTCCATAACTGAACTTGTGTATTCACATCAGAGCAGGGGTATTATTAGTGAGCGTTGGCTCACAGACTTCTTGTTAATTTCGATGAACAGTGTTGCCATGGTTACTAGAAATAGAGATTTCTGGGAAATACCTTCAAAATGTTACTCCTCCTACAATTTTGGTCTGATTTCAGTAAAACTTGGCACACAAGTAGACTACACAAGTACACATAATTCTGTGTATCGGTTTTTGATTTTGATAAATGGTGTTGCCATAGTTACTAAAAATAGAAATTTCTCTGTAATACTTTCAAAATGCTACTCTTCCTACAGTTTTGGTCTGATTTCAGTATAACTTAGCACACAAGTAGACTACACTAAGATACATAATTCTGTACATCGGTTTTTTTTCGATTTCGATGAATGGAGTTGCCATGGTTACTAAAAATAGAAATTTCCTTGAGATACTTTCAAAATGCTACTCCTCCTACAGTTTTGATCTGATTCAATATAACTTGGCACACAAGTAGACTACACTAAGATACATAATTCTATTTATTGGTTTTTGATTTCGATGAACCGTGTTGCCAGGTTACTAAAAATAGAAATTTCTGTGAAATACTTTCAAAATGCTACTCTTCCTACAGTTTTGGTCTGATTTCAGTATAACTTGGCACACAAGTAGACTACACTAAGATACATAATTGTCTTTATTGTTTTTTTGATTTTGTTGAATGATGTTGTCATGGTTAGTAAAATCGAAATTTCTGTAAAATTATTTTAAAAGGCTACTCCTCCTACAGTTTTATTCTGATTGTAATAAATCTTGCCACAAAAACAGACTAAACCAAGGATCATTATTCTATTTATTGCTGTTGCAAAGTTTCAAGTCCAAGTGCTACTTTTATCTTCCTTCGTTATAAGTACAAACCAATAGAGCTACAGTCTTGTCAGAGACTTCTGGTTTTCTGTAGCTTCCTTGTATCTGAACTATGGTCACCATACTAACATCCCTGACTTATTTCAGCCAAAGCTTACCTGGCACCTTATCTGTGGTCATGATACAAACTGTAACACTTATTTTTGCTGTAGCATCTTTTAAGTCTTATCCAGGTCAGCATAGGTCATAGGTCAGCATACTAATATCCTTGACTTCTTTGGTCACCATACTAACGTCCTTGACCTATTTTTTGGTACCTTCCCTCAGGTCTGATCTTTGGACACTGTACTAATGTCCTTGACCAATTTTTTTTTGTAGCTTCCCTCGCGTCCGATCTCTGGTCGCTCCAGTCCTGCCTCCTTCATGTCTCGATCAGACAGTAGTAGCAGTGTGACCTTCAACACGACATCCATGCCTGTTGGATCCTCCCGAGGACCAAGTCCTCTCACCATTGGCATGTCAGACACCATTCCATTAGCCATTGCTTTTACAGAAACAATCAACGCCTACTTCAAAGGAACTGATGCTACAAGGTCAGATTCAAACTTAAGGAGTTGACGCAAATTGTTTTAAATTTACTTGATGCTGACACAGAAATGAGGCTCAATTTCCCTGTAATATATTTAATCTTTTTATTTGATCATGTACAAATATAATGAGCAAATATGAAGTGCTAGTTTCTAATACAATTAATCATTTTATTTCTCTGTAATAAATACTGTAGATCATCAAATTTTGTTGGGATCATATTTTCACAAGATAGTTATTTGGTATTTATAGGCCAGACAAAATTTTCCTGAGTTTTTGAAAATGCTGTATAAAAATTATAATAATTCAAATGTAACAGTAATTAATCAAGCAATCAGTTTCGTTAAATGCCTATTACATTGTGATTTCTGTTTTCCTGATTTTACTGATTCAATGGTGATGTTTATCCTTGCAGTATGTATGAGGGGTGATCAAAAAGTTAGCGAACTATCTCTATATTTACAAAACCACAATTCAGATCAGAATGAAATTTGGCACACATATAGTCATACACGTGTTCTATAAATAGCAGATGTTGTATAATGTTTTGTGAAGTCACAATGTGAAAATGACGTCAACATGTAGGTGACTTGTGACAAAAAATGATCGACTCAGTCGAAGTAGCAACGAATGGCTGTTAAGTTTATTGTATATCTCTGAAATTCCGTTGCAGTAGAATATGATAATTTGTACAAGGTTTATGAAGACAAAAGACTTACCAGAAGTTCAATTATTAATTGGATTGATTGTTTTAGTGAAGGCAGGGAGATGGTTAAAAATAATGTTTGTTCTGTTGCCCAGTGAAAGCAAGCCGGTAAAAAGATATGTCCTTAGTTGAGCAATTGGTTTTTAAAGGTCACCAAGTTACAATTAGAAAAATTGTGAATATCTGAACAATAATATAATTATTAAATCCCTAAACTATCGTTTACTTTAGACTTTAAACATATGAGATATGAAAAAAAGAAGGCGCCCATACTTTTTCCACACTGGATAAATGACGCTCCAGAGACAGAGGACTTGGGTTGTGATGGTCACCATGCTAATTCTGGGAAGAGATATCCTTATCCACCCATCCTATTGCCGAGATTTGGCCATTTCTAACAGATGGTCTGTTCTTGTTGTAAAAAATATCTTGCATAGTAAGAAATATAAGACTCGGAAAAATCTCTTAGCTTCTGTGAACAGACCGCTACGGAACATGTCACGTGACCGCCTGGATCACTGATTCGCGCATGGGCAGAACAACAGCAGATGTGCATTAAAATCAGAGAGGACTACTTTAAATGATAATGAACACTGAAACCTCAGTTTATTTCTTTTAAGGAAGTAATTCAGTTAGTTCGCGAACTTTTTGATCACCCCTCATACATGGTGAAGTACATGTATTGTCAAAATTACACATTGAACATGACGTTGAAGATCTAGTGATATATTGGGTTTTTTCTCTTATTTTCAGATGTATGGTTAAGATTACAGGAAATGTGATGATGTCATTTCCTGCCGGGGTTGTGCGAGTTTTTACAGAGAATCCTAACCCTGCATTACTGAGCTTCAAACTCAAAAACATCTCTAAGTTAGAGAACACTATGCTCAACAAACAACTGGTGGAAATGTAAGTATACATCTTAAAGTCGAATCTTCTAGCTATTGTCTGCTTGTATGACTTATCTGGTTATTGTGATATATTGATTTGTATGAGTTATCTAGTTATTGTGATATATTGATTCGTATGACTTATCTGGTTATTGTGATGTATTGATTTGTATGAGTTATCTGGTTATTATGATATTAAGATTTGTATGAGTTATCTGGTTATTGTGACATATTGATTTATATGAGTTATCTAGTTATTGTGATATATGGATTTGTATGAGTTATCTAGTTATTGTGATATATGGATTTGTATGAGTTATCTAGTTATTGTGATATATGGATTTGTATGAGTTATCTGGTTATTGTGATATGTTGATTTGTATGAGTTATCTGGTTATTGTGATATATTGATTTGTATGAGTTATCTGGTTATTGTGATATATTGATTCGTATGAGTTATCTGGTTATTGTGATATGTTGATTTGTATGAGTTATCTGGTTATTGTGACATATTGATTTATATGAGTTATCTAGTTATTGTGATATATGGATTTGTATGACTATCTGGTTATTATGATATATAGATTTGTATGAGTTATCTGGTTATTGTGACATATTGATTTATATGAATTATCTAGTTATTGTGATATATGGATTTGTATGAGTTATCTGGTTATTGTGATATGTTGATTTGTATGAGTTATCTGGTTATTGTGATATATTGATTTGTATGAGTTACCAGGTTATTGTGATATATTGATTTGTATGAGTTATTTAGTTATTGTTATATATTGATTTGTATGAGTTATCTGGTTATTGTAATATATTGATTTGTATGAGTTATCTGGTTATTGTGATATATTGATTCGTATGAGTTATCTGGTTATTGTGATATATTGATTTGTATGAGATATCTGGTTATTATTATATATTGACTTGTATGAGTTATCTGGTTATTGTGATATATTGATTTGTATGAATTATTTAGTTATTGTGATATGTTGATTTGTATGAGTTATCTGGTTATTGTGATATATTGATTCGTATGAGTTATCTGGTTATTGTGATATATTGATTTGCATGAGTTATCTGGTTATTGTGATATATTGATTTATATGAGTTATCTGGTTATTGTGATATATAGATTTGTATGAGTTATCTGGTTATTGTGATATATTGATTTGTATGAGTTATCTGGTTATTGTGATATATTGATTAGCATGAGCTGTCTAGTTATTGTGATATATTGATTTATATGACTTATCTGGTTATTGTGATGTATTGATTTGTATGAGTTATCTGGTTATTGTGATATATTGATTTGTATGAGTTATCTGGTTATTGTGATATATTGATTTGTATGAGTTTCCTGGTTATTGTGATATGTTGATTTGTATGAGCACTGACAGAGGTGTCTTTGTCCTCGTAGGGACACAAGTCACCAGGAACCTGATACAAACTTCTACACTTTCAACATGTCTGCTTTGATTGACCATCTAAAATATCAAGGGGAACAGAACAAGACAGCCTCCTACTTTAACATCGACATTCTCAAATATCAGGTATGTACGTCACTTCTTTTCTATGGCATGAAATTGAGGTTCAACACACATTCACTATTTAATGTCCCTATAAACTTGACACATATTTCTACATGATTTTCTCATCAAACTCACTTGAATTTCATTTGACTGCTTCTTCACAATCACATGTGCATTTGTAAAATTGTCATAGGAGATCAGATATCATCTCTGATCTTTAAAGATGAATTTCCTGGGGAGAATTTTACTGGAAATTACCACAGAATATTTGCCAGTATATTGATTTTTGTCTGGTTCTCAGCAAAAGGCTATATGATTCTACAAATGAAAATTCTTGTTTATATTCCCAGGCCATACCAATGGCTAAAAAGTCAGTTTTCTAAAGCCAACAGAAAAATACTTATATACTAATCAATTATGAAAATTGGTAACAAACTTTACTGTGATTTTGAATGGCATTATATAAAGACTGGATTGACAGGTATTGACCCAGCCTGGAGTGGAAAGTACGCCACTGACAGTGGTGGCGTATTGGAAATGTGAAGAGAATACCACTGACTACCGCCTGGACTACAAATACAACCCAAACTCCATGTCATCACCGTCAACTCTCAAAAATGTTCAAGTAATGGCAGCCGTCAGTGGAGGTGTCAACAACATGCAGAGTATTCCTGCTGGTGACTGGTGAGTAGGTTTTTTTCTTGTCTTAGGGTATTCCCCCTGGTGACTGGTGAGTAGGTTTTTTCTTCTGTCTCAGGGTATTCCCCCTGGTGACTAGTGAGTAGGTTTTTTCTTCTGTCTCAGGGTATTCCCCCTGTTGACTGGTGAGTAGGTTTTTTCTTCTGTCTCAGGGTATTCCCCCTGGTGACTGGTGAGTAGATTTTTTTTCTTCTGTCTCAGGATACATAAAATGTTGAATGCACCCCCTGGCTTTTTAAGTAGGTTTTCTCTTCTGTCTCATAGTATACCCCCTGGTGACTGATGAGTAGGTTATCTCATTTATCTCAGGGTATCCTCACCCCCCATCCTGATGATTGGTGATTAAGTTCTTTCTTCTGTCTCAGGATACGTAGCCAATATTGAATGACCCCCCCCCCTCCCCCTTTAGCATCAAGGCTTCTTTAAATATGATTTGAAGTAACTAAAAAAATAAATCATGCTCGAGATTCCACGTTCTCTTTATTTCTTGTTGGACTTTGCTCAGAATTTGTAAGTTTCCATAAAAGGCATGAAACTTGCCTCTGTTTAACTTATAACCATGTTTATTAAAAAGAATGGTTAGAAGATATTCATGAAAGGAGTGCAATGGAGAGATGTAAATTATCCCACTTTAACAACCTACCATAAAATCAATTTATTCATAAGCATACCAAAGATAGAAGAGATTTTTTATGACCAGGGGTCAGGTAGATTTTAAATGGAATAGCCCTTATGTATTTCAAGTATTAAGGTATCTTTATTTTTCTAGGAATGAAGACAACCAACGGGCAACATGGAGGCTTAACGATTTATCAGAACTTAGTGAGGAAGGAAGTCAAGGCAGCATCAGGGCCAAGTTTGAGTTGAAGTCGGGCCCCTCCCGGCCCTCGCCCTCAGCCATCCAGTTCTTGTGTGAGGGAGCATGTCTATCTGGCCTGGAGATGGAGATGGTAGGGCCAGGGTACAGGGTATCCCTACTGAAAAAGAGGTTTGGTGCAGGTAAGTGATCATAATTTACCCTTAGACATTTAAATATGGAATACTGTTTAGGACAGTTATTCTTTCCATGAAGTAGAAAAATTGCTTATTAACTGGTTGAGAAGTATATTAACTAGATTTATTGTGTTTACGGAAGATTTTCTGGAAAAAATTTACATGTACTTACTTAGAAGTTTAAACTTCTAAAATGAAATCATTAAGTCCTACTCTTTTTCTGATGATTTTATTTTTATCAAAGGTAAATATTTGGTGGATCCAGAGGCCCCAGTTTGACCATGTTTGGGATCTAGTTTTATCAAATTACCAATGGGGTGACAGTGACAATTACCTCATTCACAAACTAGTCAATTGACCACAATGCACCTCACTAATGGAGCAGGAATGTCCCAGAATTCCAAACAAAGAAGGCAGATGTACGGGTGATTTATCCTTGGAGTGAGGAAGCAAGGGAAATTAATCTTGTCTACTTACTGTGAAAATTTTTAACTGTCAGAATATACTGTGATATCTATTTCCTGTACAATTTTTAACTTGTAATATTTAAGTAGATATTTGTTTGACATCTCTTTTTGGTTCTTACTGTTAGAGCGATGTGATTTTTTTGGTAAGAAGTGTTCATCACTGTAGCCATTTATGTGATCTAAACTATAGCAGCTGCATTAGAATGAACTGGCATTTAGGAGTCTGCTTTACAGAGTATTTATCCAGTCTTATCAAATGAAAAGTGCTACAACTAACAAGAAGTTTTTTGTGTGTGTTAGGAATACTGGAAGTTTGTAGTTCCAGTGTAGAATTATTTTATGTTTCAGTGACTAGCGTGAGATGTTGCCTTTTGGTTAAGAAGAACCATGGGTGTGACTTGTATGTGCAATATCACATTTTTGCTTGTAATTTCTTTGTTATTGTTTTAAATGGAGGGAATATTTATTCTTATGAATGCAGTATTCATGTCCTAAATGAAGTTGTTCGTTTTAGCATTGAATTCAAATCTAGGAAATGATAATTAAATTTCAGTAGATGTTTATTTTGACACTAGGTTTCAGTTAGTGTTTATGTTGTCATCAGTCGAGGCGTTGCTGGCAGTGCCTTTCCATTTTTTTTTCACTGAATTCCATTCCTGAAACTTTTGCTCTCTCACTCCTACAAAAAGTGGGTCTCTTAGATGACTTGCTCTATGTTGAGATATTATATATTGCCTCACTTTTATCCCGAAAATATAACTCGAATTCAATGAATAAGAATATATGGGGGTTTGTTATCAAGGTTATATAAAATTGAAATTACCATTCTCGGGTCTATGTGCATCCATTTTGAGGTAGCCCCATTGCAATTTCTATTGTATTTTCAGTAAAATAAAAAGTTGACAATGCTGAGACCTATCCGAGAATAAAGTTCAGCCCTCATTTTCTCGTTCTTTTGCACCTGATTTTCATTTCTGGTAGCCTTTTTATAGATGTAGTCATCGACAGCCATTTGACAAGGACACTTTTTCATGAAAAGAAATTCATATATTTGGTAATTTTGTGAGATGTGAAATATATCTACTGCAGTATGACTACGGTATAACTATGATGGAATTTTCGTTATTTTTATAGAAAATTCTGGAATAAAAAAATGCCTCCCACATGCAATTTATCACCGATAAAAAGTTCCACCCACATCTGTTTTTAAGAAAATTGACCTGAGAACCTAACATCAATTTTACTTAGCCATAATTGTTTTATAAAGGTTTTCTCATGGAATGTAGATTAAGTTTAAGTGAATTATTATTTTGAGTGTTTAAAAAAATCTGCACAAAGTAAAAATACCCATTGGAAAAGATCATGGGTAGTAATGTTTCATTGAGTCATAATGTAGAAATAAATTTATTGTAAGATTGAAAATATATTGTAAAATATATTGTAAAATCAGATTGAACTAACATAAGCGTTTTACCATAGGATGAAATTGAGATATTCTGTCCAAGTTAGATCTTGTACTACCATACAAAATAACTTTGATGTTACATTGCCTTGAGCTTTAAGATGTTACACACTCTCTCATCTTAAAACATTCCATACTCGGTTGTACCTTGAGTGTGTGTGACAGTAACGTAGTCTGAAACAGACTGTGATAATTATCCTCATCATATTCCTATGTACACTACTTTTATTACATCACTTATTAAATCATTTTAAATATTAAAAATAACTTGAAAACTATATCGATCAATAAACACAATAAATACTTGTTATCTTCTTAATCATAGATGATTGATTGGTTAAACAAAAGAAAGGAAGACGTTTACAATGTTTTTGGCTTGTTAGTTCACTAGCATTAGTTCAGGATAAAGTGATTGCATGTAATTAAAGCCACTGTTGACTAGGGTTGGCTTTGCAGTAACATCAGATCAGTATGGAGAGAGTGGATGATTACAGAAGCCATGTTGGCTAAAGCTAGTTCTGCAGTAGCTATGATTGAGTATGAAGTGACTGAATGATCGTTAAACCCAATGTTCTGCAGTATCTATGATTGAGTATAAAGTGACTGAATGATTGTAGAACCCAATGTTCTGCAGTAGCTTTGATTGGGAATGAAGTGACTGAATGGTCGTAGAACCTAATGTTTGAGTATGAGGTGACTGAATGATCGTAGTACCCAATGTTCTGCAGTAGCTATGATTGAGTATGAGGTGACTGAATGATCGTAGTACCCAATGTTCTGCAGTAGCTATGATTGAGTATGAGGTGACTGAATGATCGTAGTATCCAATGTTCTGCAGTAGCTTTGAATGAGTATGAAGTGACTGAATGATTATAGACCCCAATGTTCTGCAGTAGCTATGATTGAGTATGAAGTGACTGAATGGTTGAAGAACCCAGTGTTCTGCAGTACCTATGATTGAGTTCAAAGTTACTGAATGGTCATAGGACCCAGTGTTCTGCAGTAGCTAGAATGATCGTAGAACCCAGTGTTCTGCAGTAGCTTTAATTGAGTATGAGGTGACTGAATGATCGGAGAACCCAATGTTTTGCAGTAGCTATGATTGAGATTGAATATGAAGTTACTGAATGATTATAGACTCCAATGTTCTACAGTAGATATGATTGAGTATGAACTGAATGGTTGTAGAACCCAATGTTCTGCAGTAGCTATAATTGAGTATGAAGTGACTGAATGGTCGTAGAACCCAATGTTTGAGTACGAAGTTACTGAATGGTCATAGAACCCAATGTTCTGCAGTAGCTATGATTGAGTATGAAGTGACTGAATGGTCGCAGAACCCAGTGTTCTGCAGTAGCTATGATTGAGTATGAAGTGATTGAATGATTGTAGAACCCAGTGTTCTGCAGTAGCTATGATTGAGTACGAAGTGACTGAATGGTCGTAGAACCCAATGTTCTGCAGTAGCTATGATTGAGTATGAATTGACTGAATGGTCGTAGAACCCAATGTTCTGCAGTAGCTATGATTGAGTACGAAGTGACTGAATGATTGTAGAACACAATGCTGATCAGAGTAAGCTCTGCTGTTGCAATAATTCAGGATGAAGAGACTGGTTGATATAGAAGCCATGTTGGCTAGGCTTCACTCTACAGTAGTATAAGTTCAGGTTGTGGTTACTGGATGATTGTAGGACCAATGCTGATTAGGATTGGTTGTGCAGTAGCAGAAGTTCAGTATTCAGTGATTGAATGATTATAGAAACCAGTGTTGGCTAGCGTTTGTTCTGCTGTAGCTTTGATTTAGTATGAAGTCTCTGGACACAAAAAGCACAGTTGGTACCATATGAAGATTATACCAGTCTCGTTTAAATTCAACATTTCGCAAATTTTATGTTCGATACAATGACTGTATCACATGCAGCAAATACAATCTATTGCTAGGTCGAATGTTAACTGACGTTTTTCATACCAATTTTTAAGCCATTATCTACAAATTGATTTTTTCACTTGCCCGATCATGACAATGAGCACATAAGGGTGTGACCGGTCGACAGTAAATGCTTAAATGCTTACTCCTCCACAGCACCTTATCGCACCTCTGATGTTTTTTAGGGTCTGTGTTTGCTTTGCTCCAAATATATATGTGGTAGTGTAAGATACATGGCATCCTACTAGCTTGGGCTAGTGGGTTAACCCTTTAGCTCAATTGGTAGAGCACTGGACTGGCAAGCCAGAGGCCCCGGGTTCAATCCCCAGCAGAGGCACAAAATGTCTCTGTTACATTTGGCGCCCACGTTGGGACCCGGGTGTTCTCTGGCGGGTGAAAGTGATTGCCCCCAGAACTTCGCCCCACAGGCGTCGGCACTCCAAAAGAGATGAGGACATCTCATTCTCTGGAGGGGGACAATGTGGTAGTGTAAGATACATGGCATCCTACTAGCTTGGGGTAGTGGGTTAACCCTTTAGCTCAATTGGTAGAGCACTGGACTGGCAAGCCAGAGGCCCCGGGTTCAATCCCCAGCAGAGGCACAAAATGTCTCTGTTACATATAGTTCTAATACACTACTGAGCTTGAATCCATGCGTAAAACAACGCGCGCAATGCTATCTTTTTTAAGGTCTGAATCTCCCCTCTTTTTCTTCACAGTAGGTTAACATGTATGGTGTTTGCATTTCAGAAATTCAGAAATTTAGTCAAAAAATTAAAAAAAAATTATTCTGATACCAGTTGAATTTTTTGTTAATGTGTGTTATCTGTCGTGATCGTTATTTGACCGAAATTGTTTTTTTTTTTTCAACGCTTTCCTAAAAGGCTATATTCAGTAAAGACTAATATCTGCCCCCCAAATCAAAGTCTGATGGTAAAATTTCAAATTATGTTCTTAAGCCAGAAGGATATATGTAGACTTCAATGCATTAAACATTTTCATCCACTGCATGTCTTAAGTTAGATATGAAATCAGAAAGTTTCATAAATTCATGTCAATGACTTTGTAAGAAAATATCTAGTATTTTGCGTAAATAATTTGATTGGAAAATATCGAGTGCAGGTCCTCTAAGGCTCACGCCTTGTGATATAATGTGTAGTAGAATGTTTATATCAAGGAAATATGTGAAAATTGATTCTCAGCAAGTTTACTCTGTCTAAAAACGAGTTAAAATTGAACCTAATTCGTACAATTAATAACTGTTTTTAAAAGCATAGTGAAAAACCTTTTGGTTAATATCTTGTGACTTCACAGAGAGACATTTTTTTTCCAAAATCAATAATGCATATTTAGCTTACCTGAGTCGAAGGCTCCGAGCATGTATTCTGGTGTCGAAGAATCCAAATATGGATTTTCCTCCTTCTTTTCAATAGACGATTTAAAATTGTCATCTAAGTGACAAAGTTTTCATCTTTTAAACTAATCTTAGCTGGAAGATCAAGTCGCCTTTGTGATCACCCGTTGTCCGCAGTCTGTCTAGCCGTCCGTCTGTCCATCCGTCTCTAAACTTTCCACATTTTTAACTTCTTCTCAAGAATTACGGGGCCAATATTTACTTCAGTTGATATAAGGCGTCCCTGGATAATGGAGATTCTTAATTGTTGAAATGAAGGACCAAGCCCCCTTCCATGGGAAAATAATCAAGAAAAGGCAAAAATAGGGTGGGGTCATTAAAAAATCTCAAGAACAACTGGGCCAGAAAAGCTGAAACTTATGAGGTGGTGTAGATTCTAATTTCTTCAAATCATGACCTCCGGGGGTAGAGTGTGTTCACAATAGGGGATCAAAGTTTTACAATGAAAAATATAGGTATTAAAATCTTGAAAAAATCATCTTCTTAAGAACCACTGAGCCAGAAAAGCTGAAACTTAAGTGGAAGCTTCCTGGGGTATGTTGATTCTAAATTGTTCAAATTATGACCCCTGGGGATAGAGTGGAGCCACAATAGGGAATCATCTTCTTAAGAACCACTGAGCCAGAAAAGCTGAAACTTAAGCGGAAGCTTCCTGGGGAATGTTGATTATAAATTGTTCAAATCAATACCCCTGGAGATAGGGTGGAGCCACAATAGAGAATCAAAGTTTTACATTGAAATATATAGGAAAAAAATCTTTAAATATCTTCTTCTCAAGAACCATTGGGCCAGAATAGATTAACTTTAGGTGAAAGCTTCCTTAGATAGCATAGATTGTAAATTATTAAGATCATGGTCCCCAGGGAAAAGGGAAGGTCATAGTAGGGAATCAAAGTTTTACATTGAAATATATATAGGAAAAATCTTTAACAATCTTCTCCTCAAGCAAGTACTGCTGAACCAAAAAAAGCTGAAACTTAGGTGGAAGCTTTCTGAGGTAGCGTAGATTGTTAATTGTTCAGATCATGGTCCCCGGGGGGTACGGTGGAGCCACAATAGGGGTTACATTGGGGAAAATCTTTAATACTCCTCAACTCAAGAACAGCACAGCTATGGTGAATCATATTAATGTGGAAGCATTCTCTGGTAGTGTAGATTCTTTTTTTGTTCAATTCCTGGCCCCTGTATATAGGGTGAGCCAAAAAAGTCGATCAAAATTTTGCATAGGAATACATGTACGTTGGGGAAAAATCTGATGCAGAATAGTAGGACCAAATTGACTAAGGTAAGCATTATGGTCCATGGGCCTATCGTCTAGCCTAGTGGTACTTGAAATGATTTTTAATGACCGCATATATTTTTACTTTCTCTTGATTGCGTGGACCCTGAGGTCTATGCAGAAAATATATAAGCGCGGTTAAACCGAATACCATGGGCTTACGTCAGGTTACGCATGCGCGAGAATGCTAAAGAGTTCGCCTCTAAGACAACTTGCCCTTAGAACAATTCACCCTCTTTGAATTAGAATATGCCAATCATTGGCAAACCTCGCTTTAAAATCCGCACATCTTATTTGTGTATTCTTTGAATTTCTCTTTAATATAAATATCCTTATATAAAAACTAAATTCTATGCTACAAGCATTTTAAATAAGTAGGAAGAACTTATATAGATAGCTTAACAGCTTGAACATGTTGAATTAAAAACTTTGTTCAACTACTATGTTTTAAAAGAGAGTCTTTACCATGTTTACCGGCATTAGTTTTGTGCATCAAGGTTCGCAAAATAATTTGATAGACAGTGCTAAATCCAAATATAGCTTGAGTACAGGCCTGTAGCAACGTTTTTCCATGTGGGGGAGAGGGAGAAACATCAAAAAAAAAAATCTGCGTATTACAGATCTGTGCTACACGTGTACCATCTATTTTTTCAATGAGAGAATCTTCCGAAAGGTGGCAGAGG